AGATTAGTACGCAGATTACCTCGTCAGATTAGTGATAGAAAGTGAAGGCTGTGTATATTGCGTTGCAGGAGTGGCGAGCCGGGCAGCCAAGGCGTGGGAAGTGCGCCCAGGAGCGTGGTGTGCATAGGAAAGCCGCTGGTGGCCCGAGAATTATCGCGGCGCGCGCAGATGGAGCTGCTCTACCGGCACGCGCTGGCCGCGCACGGCCGTGACACAGTTCTTGCAGCACCGCCGAGCAAGGTGCGCCAAGATTGCGCTGCAGGTTCAAGTGCCATGCACATACATTTATGAAATTTTGCACTTTGGGAAGCTATGACCAGTTTCTGTCACTTCTTGCCCATTTAGAACATTGTTGTAAGTAGGTCAAATGCTGCTGACTGTTTTGCGCGACAATTGAAGATGCTATGTATTACAGGGACAGAACGGGTCTTGGAGGCAGAGCCTGCTGCAGCAGCTCTCACAGGAGATGGGCACAGAACTGGCAGCAGCAGCCGATGGCTCTGCAGCGGCCAACACAGGAGCTGGGCACATCATACCGGCGTCAGCAGCAGACACAGAGGCGATGAGTGAGGGCGGCCTGTCCGCTGACCTGGAAGCTGAGCTGGCTGCTGATGTCAGCGACGGCTCTCCGCTGGCCCGCGCTCATGCTGAGTTGCCCGATCAGGAACGCCCCGGCATGCATGCGCGACAGAGTGGCGTCAGTGCACCCTCACAAGTCAGGTGAGACACATTGCTTCATTTCTGCATGATCATGTTTGTGCCCAGCATGTAGCAGACCCGGACAGCAGGGTGCTAGGTGTTTCTGATGGCAAATACTGTTTTTGTATCTTATTGTAGATTGTACAATCCAGAGATTTTGCTACGATTCAATATATTTGCGCCTGGGTGCAGACATGATTTGTGGCGGCTTGGACAGTTTCGCATAATCTCGCGCGCCAGCGTCCGAGCCTCAATTCCTGCAGGAGACAACAGCAGGGATCCGGTGCCTGTCACGGTGAGTGCTGCAGGAATTTGTATCGACCCACCAGGCATCTTGAAGTGCTTATACAACCCTGAAGGCACTTTTTACAGCAAGCAAATGCTTTGATGCGAAACCTGGCAATATTATCCATGCGTGCATGATTGTCACGGGTCATTTAGAATGCGCATTGTGGCATGGATTTAGGCAGTGGAAGCAGATTGAAGCATGGTAAAGCATGGTAAAGATTTACTCTTTACAGTGCAAAGCTGGACTAGAAATCTTGAAAAAATGCATGCAGGTGGCGGCCAAGATGGAGTATCATGGGGACAAGGCAGAAGATGCAGAGGAGCTGACTGCAGAGGAGCTGTCTCGATGGTGGTCCCAGGCCTTTATGCGCCCAGGCTCATCTCTGCTGGTGAGTCCCCTAGCCCCCCTGACTCTGCTTTCCTGTTGTGGGTGCATTTTGTGTCTTGCATAACTAAGCCTAGGAGCCCCCTGAACACAATAATGCCCCTGGCAAGCGCCTTTCCCTGTGGAACGATATTGTGCTCCTTGCCCTCCACTGCACTTGCCCATATGCCTTCAATCCCCTTCCATGAGGCAATGGTTGGCCACCGTTGCTTTTCCTAGTCCCTCCAAGTCTCCATGCATTTGGTCCAATTGGGAAACAGGTGCATGTTATTAAGTCTCAACGACCCCTCAGGTGACTGTGAGGTCACAAGCATCTCCACTCACATGAAGCTGTTATAGTGAGCTTGGGTTGGTCTACTACTCTCCACGGGGGCATCATCGCACAGATACAATTTTGCCTGATCTGACTATATGCTTGCAGTTGGGTCATGTCAGCGTGCGCAACTCACGGCTGCTACGGAGCGAGTCGTACACTGCGCGCAGCCTGCAGAGCAGCGCAGCTGCCGCCGGGTTCTCTCCTACCTTCCTCTGGCGCCTGCTACAGGTAGTAAGAGTCACAAACATGCAGCAATCATCCTCCTAAGATAGCACGGATCGCACATCATGAGCATGAATATGCCTGCATGGCAAGTTCACTGCCATCAGCGTTCCAGGAAGGCTTGTCCATGTCCTCCGTTTATAGACAGTATATGCACTGCTTCTGGCTGAAAGTTGACCTGGTGCTTGAGCGTCGGTTCTGCAAAGCCTCAGTTTAAAGAGGCCACATGGTCTGCGACACGTTTGTTTGCCGCATGGCTCTTTCTGCATCTTGAAGAGCATCCCTGTGACTTACTGCAGGAGCTGCTGCGCGCGCTGGGCACGATGCGGCCAGGCCGCTACCTGCTGACTCACGCGCCGGGCTCCACCCGCATCTGCATCTTTGCCGCCCTGCCGGACGACCCCGACACAGAACAGGTACCTCAATTTTTGGTGTGAGCAGAGGCCATACGATTCAATCTGATCACCAAAGCCGGATTGTGGTGCTTTAAAACAACAGTGTGAAGTCAGCATTCTTTGGAAGTCGTGCCGGCCACAAATCAGACTTGAGCGCATGCTCTCCATTTTGGTGTCAGGCATAGACAATCCTGGTTTACATGCAAGTTTGCCTCCCACCAGACTATTGGGAGCATTTCTTGTTTACACAGGTCATACTGGCTTGCAGGACTCCTGTTCTTACGAAGCCCCGATGAGCCATGGCAGAGAAATCGTTCCAATGCCTCACCGTCACCCCTCTGCAGCTCCTCCTTCCTGTCACATGAGATATAGAAAGAATCAAGAGATAACGCCCAAGTCCGGAGGCCAATAGAAGTCCTTGCCTCTGAAAAGGCGCGATCCGAGTGGCTTTGACTGCTGCGGCAGGCAGATGCACCGCCGCTGCCGTGTGACACCGGGGCGGCCGGGCCAGGGACGGTGTACGATCTTTGGGCAGCGCACGCCAACAGCGGGGCTGCAGACGAACACCAGGTATTGTCACTGTGCAATACTCTTTGCTTGCAGCTGACTATCCAACTTTGTAATGCCATAGACCACCGCCACAGAGACAGCATGTTGCCGATTGTCAGGTGGCTATCATGGGATATGGCGTTATGCTGAGATTTCCTGTGCCCTTGCCATGCTGAAGTCACCTTTTGACGCGGGTCATTGTGTTGGCATATCAAATGCCGTTAACGCCTGCTTGCTGCTATTTTGTAGGGTTGTCATACAATGTTCTGCATGCAGGTGCCATTTGTGCCCAAGCGTTGGCGGCCAAGCCACGCGGACGTTCCCCAGGTCCCTTACACCTTCGCGCTGAAACCCCCCGCAGCGGCCGGCGGCGGCCGGGGCCGGGGCCGGGGCCGCGGCGGCAGAGACGGCGGCCGGGACGGCGGCGGCCGCAAGCGGCAGCGGCACCGAAAACTCATGCCATCCGCCTGGACAGTTGGTGCGTGCTTTGTTTCTACATCTCTTAAAAGTCTATCTGCTTTTAATTGTAGCTTGTTCGCATGGCATACCGTGCCCTTTGGCAGGACAAGCGTGTAATAATAAAATGTCTATCAGTCCTGCATGCGGTCTGCTCCCTGGAGGTGCTTAGAATGCCTGCACCTTTTGAACAGCCTTTCAGGGTGTGGCGGTGATTGGTCTTGTGGAGGGGGTTTTCGGCACTCCAGGGAAGGTCGCCACTTGGGTACCCTGTCTGCAGTGTGGCGAGCTCCCAGCTCAACTTCTATGAGCGGTGCAAGGCCGCCTTGCACAGCTTGAACATGCTGAGCTGGGGTAGACGAGCATTGCATCACGTGCAGTGTTCTGCTGGTAGCCAATGTGGCTTCCAACCCAATTTGTTGGCTGAAGCCACAAAATTTACAAAGAACAGGACTTCTTAACATTAAATGTGATTCACGCGCTTACATGGACGCCGGTACACCATACAGGCCCATGCTGCACTGCTTGTCTGTACCACCAACTGTGTCTTTTGCAGCTGCCTTGAAGTAAGCTGCACCTGGCAGAGGTAATCAATGTGGCATTTGCCAGAGCTTGTTAGAGAACGCTTTTCAGGATACCGGATAGCGGCTATTGGCAGCTCCAAAGGAGCTACCCCCAGCAGGCAACAAATAGCAGGGTTTTCCCACAGCAGAAGTTTGACATGTCGCACGCGCTGATCTTGTGCCCGTGCGCGCAGGCCAGCGCCCAGACTGGGACGAGGTGGCGCAGCCCGGCGCTGCTGCAGAGGGCGGGAAGGGGTTCTCCACAGCTGACTATGCGCAGCTGCTTGGAGAGGATCTGGCTTAGACGCCCCCTGTACGTATGGCGCACAGCTAGATTCTTTGAACCCGGCTGTCATGTTAATAGCCATTCCTTGCGTGAGAAAGGAAAATTACTCCTGCATTACAAGCAGCCTGCTCTCGCATGCTGACAGATTTTAGACAAACGAATTCCACTAGAACATGTTTCCAGATTAAAGTAGCAGCTTGAATACCTTTCAGGAGGACTTGCAATGGTGTGAACAAAATTTGGTCTCAATCATGCTTGTTGTAATATCATGGTGGCAACTACAGCTCACATTGCAAATTTATGAAGCACGGCTGTCATGTCATTCGTGCTCCTAAACATTGAACGTTGTCAATAAGATACGTACATCTACATTTTCAGAGGTCTTTCTGCCATGTGCTGATTGTCTCTCAATGTAGCTACATAGACCCCGCTGCCAACACTCGGGACTCAGGGTGTAGTTCACAGCACTCCAGCGTGCGCGCACTGCTGCATCTCTGCGCAGCCTTTGAGAAGTTCTGCATGCATGCCTCAGATCTGCATGCCTCCGAGGGCCAAGAGTCTTGCTCCTTAGCGCTGCACGGATGTCCCCGTGTAATAGCCCGGCAGCATGCACAACGCGCAGAGCCGCCTCCGTAGCTGCAAGAATTAAGCAGAAACTTGGCAGGAATCAAGGGGGTGATAATCATTGCTTGCAAGAACTTATATATATTTAGAGGACCTCATTGGCAAGAATGGCCCATGCAGGCTGCCTACTTTGGCGATGGCTGGGCTTCTCCAAGTTTCGAAGGCTGGCCCATCAAACAGAAACAGCAGTCCATTGGCATCGAGGTGAAGATCAGAAAGAAGAATTTCTGCAAGCCCTGTTGCTCGATCGCCTTTTTCGACGTGTTCAAGGATCCAGTGCAACATCTTTCTGTACTATTGATAGTTCCTGGAGCCATAACAGTTGACCAGCTCTTGTGTTTTAGATAATGGCTGATGCCGGTGATGTCAGCCAGTCTGCGAAGACACCAGCAGACTTCCTGAAGAGCATCAAGGGAAAACCGGTTGTGGTGAAGCTAAACTCTGGGGTGGACTACAGAGGTGATCATCATTCTCGAACTTTGGTTTGCGAAATGATGAATCGATGCCAAGGGGAAAGGGTACTCAGCAACAGAGCCTCGCATGTTGCTGTTCAGGGATTTTGGCGTGTCTTGATGGCTACATGAACATCGCTATGGAATCCACAGAGGCAAGTGAACGCACCAATTCTTACAAGTTCGAATTTGTATTTCGGAATGGTGTGATAAGAGCACGTTGAAGCGGAGGCCAAATGCCCCAGTGTTAACAAGTTTCTACTTTTGCATGCAGGAGTATGTCAATGGACAGCTCAAGAACAAGTATGGGGATGCCTTCATTCGTGGGAACAATGGTTAGTGGCCTTCGCAGACTTGGGTGCACTTGCTTGTGGGAATTATACTGCTGGCACAAGCTTTCATTTTCTGAGCCAGTTCTGAAGGTTTGTCTGGTGATCGCAGTCTTGTACATCAGCACAGTCAAGAACTGATGGAACTGATCAAAATCCAGCAGCAGCAGCAGCAGCAGCAGCATGACCTCCTTGCTCAGCCAAGCAAAGGGGCTGCAGCTGGCGTTGCCTCACAGTGTGTCCTGACACAGGAGCTTAGCTGACTTGCTTTCTGCATGAAGGGAGCAGCAATGGGTAAGGCTGATACCATAGGATTTTTCTTATGGCTGAGCAGAACTGAAGGGTGCAGATTGCGTGTGCCACCTGACCGGCGCTTCATCAGCCCAAGGAAATCTATCTGAGGGTGAATGATCATTTTTGGACTGCTGCTGGCCATGCTGTGTATGCCCCACAACAGGCTTGGCAAAGGGACCTATTTAAAATCACAATAGTGCGGCCTTGCCTGGCAGTTTGGAAGTAGTGTACATTGACCGAGTGCGGTGAGGCTTAGTTTAGAAGCATAGAGTGTCATAAAATGTCTTTTGGGCGCAGCCACGCGTTCTAATGTCACATTTGTTACATCAGAAGTCACTTGAAGTGTCAATTTGAAGCTTCCTCGACTTTGTAATTGCTAGCTATATTCTTGCGACAGCAGACAGCAATAAGTAAGCCCACACACGCCTACACCCTATGGGCCTTCCGTTGTTGCAGTCCAAGAAATTCCAGAATGTTATTTGCTTTTTTCCGTCGCAGCCTCCGCACATCCCCACGAGAGAGGGATCCCCTGCAGATCAAGCCAGCACGTCAACAATTAACTTCAAACCCATGGGGAGGCTTGTGATAGACACGGAAGTCTTCCAATTGCAATCGGGCAGTGACTCATCTCATCAAATTGTGACACTCATATATGCCACTTCAGTCCAAAGAGCTGCCACAGTGTGCAATTGCATTCAGGCACGCTGATGTCGGGACGTTCTGCGTTCCTTAGATTGGTCTGTCATTTGTATTTATTATTGTGATTCCTTGTTTAATCATTGGGAGTGAAGGGGAAGTGACGCACGAGCGATACTGGTGGTACACCCACAGGCACGCATAGAATATCGCCATCGCCCCCAACGCCAAGCCTATCAACAGCTTGTACCCCAGCGTCCCCTTCTCAGACGCAGCCAGCTGCGCACAACAAATCATATACTCTTCAGAGCTCCACCTGACATATCCTCTAAAATGCAACCATCAGTAATCCCATTGGTCACCCCTGGCGCCCCCATGCCGGCACTAGTGCAAAAGCAAGTGAACTTGCAGGAAGGTGACAGCCCCATGAGAATAGTTGCACATTAGAGAACACACCTGTACCAACAGGTCCTGCTGCAACTCCAGATCACAAGTGTGCGCAGCACACACACCCTCCACAAACAACCCTGTGCCAAGCAGCACTTCTCAGACCATCATTCACGGCACATTCTTTGCTTTGTTTCGATTCCAGCCGTCCTGAAATTCGGCAGAAGGAATTTGATAGGAGAAGGGTGCTCTGCCTAATCAGTTGGTACAGCAAGATCGCCTGGGAATAGCTCTGGATGTATATTTTCATGCACTGCCGAGAGAAGCGCGCACGGTGAAGCTTGGCAGCAGCCGGGCCGGCATCCGGCGGGAAGCAGGCGGCGGCGAGGTCGCGGCAGCTTTCACGAAGCTGCTCGGCCGCCGACTCCCGGCATGGGGCGTGCGGCGCCAGGGTGGGGTCCCCGGCCTGCTGCGCCCGCAGCTGCCTCGATGTGGGCGTCAGGTTGATTTTGTCGCAGTGCAGCACCTCGCAATAATCCGCCAAGCACACATCCCTTCCCTGCACACCAAGAAGAGATTTCAGTCCACATTATCCGATGCCAGAATAGCACTAATTGGTGCCCCAGAAGTAAGATGTGCACATGGAAATCTGCATATTGCACAGACGCTTCATGCTCAATGCTGGATACACCTTGAAATATCACAATGAGAGTGGGAGCTCTGCAAGGTGTCGATCAAGTCTGCCAAGGAAGAATTACAAAAGCGCTGCTGAAGCTAGGCAGGAGGGAGCTCACCGGGTGTATGTGTATGTGGTGCTTCCTGTCATAGTGCCGCTCCCAAGCCTCCTCGCTGGAGAATCGCTCCTTGCAGAGACTGCAGACAAATCTGTTGCCGCTGGGCCTTCGAACCTTGGCTTGCTCCCGCTGTAAGTGCCTGCCACAGAGAAGCAGCGCTCACTTGAGCACCTGGCACTGCAATGACTGCCCTTCGACATGATCTGGCTGTAATGCAGTAAATCAGCTCAAAGACGGTATCACCAAGGGGTGCCATGCCAGGGAACAAGCAGCTGGGTTCAGTGATGAGTGAATGTCAATAAAGACGGGGCGCACATGTCTCTGCTAGGATGGAGGGCACAGGATTGGGGCAGCCCATATCCCAGCTTGTCAATCTTCGGGAAGATGTACTGTAGCAAAGCACATGGACATTTACAATCTATCTTACATTCAAGCTTCTGATCTTCCAAGGTATGAAGGGCGCCACACTCCTTTCAGCTGCCCAGCTTGGCAAGGTGGAAAAGGAAGTCCACAAGGAATTCCACTAGAGACTTTCATTTTTGTAAGACATACCTTGTGAAGCACATATCGTGTATGCTTGCTGCGTTCGACGCTACACATTTTCTGGCCCTCGGCCAAAGTAGATGTGCAGATTAAAAGCAGTGCAAAGCACGTTGTTAGTCTTTTGCCATCCATTACTTATGGTAAGACGAGGTGTGTATTTACGTAAGTTTTCTGACCGAATGCCTATGATCGAAACCGTTCATCGGGCGAATTGGGAGGCCTAGATCGCAAATGATCTGAGAGTTGTGCTTTGGCCCTTTCTCAATGTCACAAGGAGAGATTGCCGGGAACCAAATTCTGCTTGCCTACAGTGCCTCTAAATGATAGGAACTGTTGGATTGACCCTGAATGGTAGAAAGCTGGCCTTCAACCTGTGCAAAGACGAAAACGACGAATTATGGGTTTAAGGCTCTCCCAAGTTGTCCTAAATTCTGGCACCGGCACCGTTTCATTCCCACTGCACATATATGTGTGTTTGCGAAAGTAATGCTCTGGAGGAACATAGCTAAAAGTGCAATCAAATTGATTGCAGTACATACACGAAAGGAATCTTGAATCATTATGGATCGTTCATACCAGGCTGAAAATGCCCGTTCTCGTCCGCTCCCGGAAGCAAAGCTGCCTTGGGCGTCACCAGTAGTGGGTTGGGTGACCACCTGCGAACCCGACGTGACGATCTGTCCTTTTGCCACTTTTACTGTTTGCTTGCAATTTCTTCGTTGTTGGCCTGAGCCTAATGAGATCAAAGCTCTGCGAGCGTTGCCAGACGATTTATGGAAATGAAATCTGAATGGCGCTGTCCCCGGTTCAAGTCTCATGCGGAGCTGCCATCTTTTTGACTTCTGCGCAGGCCAGTGCAAGAGCAGCATGCGCGTGGCATCAATGGTCAACAAGGACCACCAAGACCAGCTGACCAGCCATAGCACACTGGCAGAGCTTCTGACGCAAAAATTACCACGTGGTGGCCGGGCCGTCAAGACATTCCCCGCCGCCCCGGGCCGGCGGGGCCGGCGGCCGCCCCGGTCGCGGCGGCGAGCACTTGTATTTAGGAGGACTATTTACAGCAGTCTCCAGCACAGTTCCCCAAAGCGCAAATGTGGAGAAGCTGGAGAAGCTCGTCAATATATTTGATTTCACAAGGTAATCTCCGCAAAAAGGGGTTCTATGTCGCCTATAATTTGAACCGGCGACCTTTCCGCTTATACTCAGCATCTCATGTTGCAAAAATATTGTTTCTTGGATGATTTTTTGATCCCAGCAAGGAGCAGACAGTAGAGCACTGAAGAAGCCCAAGCATAATAGAAGAGCAGCAAAAGTACAGATCGTCACGTCGGGTTCGCAGGTGGTCACCCAACCCACTACTGGTGACGCCCAAGGCAGCTTTGCTTCCGGGAGCGGACGAGAACGGGCATTTTCAGCCTGGTATGAACGATCCATGCCACTGATTTGTTCCTTTTGTACGAGTACTCTAGACATAATCCAAAGATATACTTCTATGTCTGTCAGAAACACCATACTAGGTTCATACCCTCTCTTCCAGAAGTTTTGTGTGGTATGGCCGCAGCCTTGCTCTGCGGGCTGGGTGTTCTGGGCTGGGCACCGAGTGATGACCTCAACAGATGCAAGCCAGGCACCAGAGGCACGCAGATCAACCCGAAGATTGCCTCCTCACGGCCGATGCGTGTACATGCGCTTTGGCTCTGCCGGAATTGGGACCGATGCTCGTCATATTAGGTGTATGCCGTCTCTTGCTGCCGGGCTTCGGATGCCACATGCCGCCAAGCTCAGGGCCGGGGATTTCTGCTTATCGTACATTGTCGATGCGTGAAAGGGGAATATAAGGAAGACAACAACGCCCTAGAGAGAAGACAATATGCCCTGTTGCTGGGAACAACCAGTCGAGGGATCTGGCGATCTGCAACTTCAATCACATATTTGTGAGCAAGGTCTTCGCGCATAGTTCTTCTGTGCACATGGTGTGAATACCATATGTTGAATCCAGAAGCTGGCTTTTTCTTTTCCAAAGAGCAGCTTGGTTTGCGCACATATTATCGCTGCAGAACAGCACCTCGCACTGGCAGCTCGTTCTCCAAAACAGGGATTATGGTTTGAATGGAAAAGGGATCAATGCCATCTAGAGCCACAAATGGGCCTGTCACTGCTGGTGCAGTACCCAGACAAGGTTCAGCCCATGCAAAGATTCCCAGCTGACAAGGAATTTGCAAGGCGCGACACAAGTAGCTACAGACTGTTCCACACCCCTAGGCCCCAGCTGCAGCTCTCTCAGCTGTAGAGCTTATATGCCTTGCGCTTGCTTGCAAAGCTGCGCCTGACAGCCTCCACGCTGGCAGCAGAGGCGAAGCTGGTCGGCACCTCCTACTCTAGCCATGCCAAGCAGCCTGACATGATCATGAAAGATGTATGGCCTGGCCACTGGCAAAATGCTGGGCCCCATCATGTAACAACAAAATGACTGCAGGTGTTTCCAGCTGGTCAATATTACCCGCCTCCCAGATATTATAATCCACCTAAACCTGAATCCATCATCAGGATTTGTCTCTTGCAGAACGAGAGCACAGCCACAGCTTTGTGCTAGCGCTATGGTTCAGTACTTTGGATGGATGCAAAGCTTCACCCTGAATGGTTTCAAGACATGTCAAGCTCACAGAATTCTTCTGAATACAATCACATCACCATGTGCACAAATGGGTAGCAAGCTTTGCAGGATATGGAGGCTGTACTAACGTCATAGATTTCTGCATTCCCCTTTCTCTATTGTCCTTGTACCAAGTTGCCGCTTGATACACCATCAACGGCATGCCAAGCTATGCGAGTTGCGGAGCACAGACACTTCAGAGTCATGCTCAACAATTAGTAGCGGGAGGAGGCATTAACCATGCACTCCAATGCCTTGCGCGTGCGCAAGCAGCTGGGCCAACACTTGTACTGCAACCTTTGCCACCAATGGCCTTCTGAAAAGCATGTTAGCAACAATCCGGACCTATTGTACAACTTGTCTTGAAGACTTTGCTTAGACCCCACTAGCCTGCATTGGCCGCCAAGACCTCAGTCCCTCTCCCTGGAGCCCAAAATAATAATCATCTCACAGTAACAAGCCTGCCAAAAGCTTGTTGCGATTGCACCATATGTTGTCCTGACCCGAGCACTGTAAAAACAAAACCAAGGGTACTCAGGAAATCTGCACCAGCAGGCTCAGGCTTGCAAAAGACTGTTCACTAGCTGCCATTGGCAAGACCAACATGCCAGGCATCTCACACTGACAAGTTTTGCAGCTGCCACTAGCTTGTTGAGCTTGTTGTACTGTCCCTCAGCATTGTGAAAACAGGTTGCATGACAGTCAGCAAATCTGCGCACGGAGGCTCAAGACTGTTCACTGGCTGCCATTGGCGAGGCCGTTAGCCCGGCTGGAGGAGCCTCCACCATTAGATGCAGGGGGAAGGTAGCCCTTCCAGCCGACCCCATTCATGTTCCAGGCCACGCGGCCGTGCAGCTGCTCTGTGCAGATCTCCTCCGAGCATGTGCACCTGTGAGGGCATAGCAGGAGATGTTAAATTTTTGCAAGCACAGGGTTTATCACAGCTCTTGGGCACACTCCGTGAGCTCTTTCGAGCGCAAGTTTTGCAGCCTGCAGTGTTCAAGGTGAGTGCATTGGGTAGCAGGAACTGCAGGGTATGGCCATCAGCTTCCACCCAAGTCTCAATTGTTTGTTCAGAGGTGGATGCGCTGGGGTGATTACGCACCATGAGTAGTTGGAATCGTTGCTGGCCGATTTGATGACCCTCTCCAGGGGGTTGTAATTGCCATGGGGCGAGTTGGGGTTGTCAGGCATCTGAATCTGGTCGCAACAGACAAAGTGGTGGCTGCCTGCAGTGCGCACAATCACCTGGTCTTTGACCACTTGATAAGGCATATACTGTACCTCCTAAAATCTTAGTCGTCAGTGGTGGTCCACAGTTCTTAGGACAATGTAAGCACAGAAAAGGTCCAGCCCTTATCGGGGTTGAATTGAACCGTAAATATGTCAGCTTTCTCGTCCAAACAAAGAAGTCAGAAATATCTCGCAGGTGCGCAGCTATGCCCTTCCCCAGGGTGAATAAATCTGCACAGGCTTACCGTCTGCAGGGAAGCAGTGTTGTGTCAAGGGAGAAGCCAGATCCAATGTTCCACAAGGCTGGGGTGGCGATGGTGCTGCTTGAGCCGTGTGTAGCATGCCGCTCTGCAGCAATGCTGCACTCAGCACCGCAGCAGTGGCACTTGCGATGGCAATCCTTCTCATGGCCATTGTTCCAAACCCACAAAAGGAGTGACTTCACAGGTGCACCCGAGGTAATGATCAGACCTCCAGTGATGGTCGAAGTCTTGGCAGTCGGAAGTTGCTTGCAAGATACAGTAGATATGATTTGTCGTCAGGCTTCTTGCACACAATGACACGACAGAACTTGTGCAGAGGAGAAGCAGCCTAGATACGCTTGGAAGCTGGTGCAGAAGCGAGAAAGAAATGCATGACAAGGAAAGCATGTCCTGGATGTCTTCCTAAGTGCCTTAGTACATGATAACTTTCTAATGCCATTCTTTCTTTATTTAAAATAAGATACGAGTTACAAGGGTATATATTAGTCTCTCAGGAATTCCTTTCGAAAGCAAATTTTTTTTCACTGCTGCGCAAAGAAAGACTCGCTTATCGCGAAATTTTCAATTCTTGGTACAACAGCAAGCTGCACAAGCAGCGCTGCAAATAATGGTTTTAAACTACCGTATACTGAACCACGCTTCAAAGGTACTGCGCTACGTGATTACTGCATGTTTCAACCGAGGGGGAGAGCCTTTATGAGGCTTCCAACACCATGAACGTTCACTGCAGTATACAGCAACAGTGCGCAATGTCAACGCCCGTGCAACGTTGGAGCCTGCATCTGTTCTCATCTGTTCTTCCGCTGCTGCTGCACTGCATACCGCGCAAAATTGCCCACCCCAAACGCGTATGCTGCGTAGCACCAGCCTGCAGTGCACAGATTTTTCTCAGCGCTGCGGTCTGACACGGAATAATTCTCAACAAGTACCATGCACCCTGTTCCATCACTCCTCTGCTATTTGAGTAGCTCGTCTGCGCACGCAGGTACTCTTGCACTCCCCACGCAAGACATGGCACTGAAAGCACAGAGCAACACAGGACAGTACAGCAACACATTTTGTTGCTCAGGCACCTTGGCACCATATATGACGGCTGACAGATTTATACGCTTGCGCACGCCTCAATGGTATGGAATAGAAGCAGCGCAAAATGGAAGCATGTTCAGAGATCTTGCAGCCACAGCAACAGCGCACATGCCTGGTGGGGCAATCCGGACCCTTGAATGTGATGGGGTCCAGAGATAGGCAAACAGTCTGAGCATTGTGCAGTACAGGGGAGACGGAAAGGGAGATATTGAGGGGTTGCTGCAACGCCCCTAACCCTAACGGCAGAAACAAGCGTAATGATAATAATGAGCGTAATCTAGGGGCCAGACTTGCAGCGTACCTGCCCAGAGGACCACGCCCAAATAGTCTGGCCGGTCGTAGTGCCACCAGCCCAGAACATTCACAATCACGCTCTCTGACAACGGAGCTCCCACAGCCAGCAGCGCCCCAAGGATGATGCCCGTGCGGGTGCCATCAAACGCCGCCCAGTTTGCGGTGGCCGCTAGTGCCAGGATCGCCGATATCTGCATTGCGCGCACAAGATGGTGACATCAGCTTCAGTGGACATGCTGAGATGGCCCCGGTGGTTGGGTGAGGGTTTCCCTTTGTTGATGCTCTCGTCACATGTGTCAAGTGAACCTGAGTTCTTCCTTGATCCGGAACTTTGTACCGGCTCTGTGAGCGTGAGATGTTCCGCGAAAAGAAGTCACTTTCTTAAACAAGTGTTAATTGTTGACTTTAGCTCATCCAGCATCCCTGATAAGCATCAAAGGGTGGTCTTAGTAAGAATCTACAAATTGGCACCCATCTGATGACCAGTTGCCCATTATTGTATGAACGAATAATAGCCTGCCTGAACACGTACAGTAAGGGTGGATCAGCAGTGAACCTACCGTCAGCAGTACTGAAGTGCAGCATCCATGCAAGCAAATAAAAGCAGATGGCATACAAATGACCTGGCTCGGTCTGTACAGAGTGTGCAACTTGCGGGCATGTGACAGCACCTGCCAGTGGGGCACGTTGTTGAGGTAAAGGACGTCGCTGAGGATGAACATGGCGGCCAGGGAGGCCCAGAGCAGAGCCACAGAGCGCAGGTTGGACGCCTTGTCGCTGGCAGAGCTGACAGCCTCGTCATCAAAGTAGCTGTCGAGCAGCGGGTACAGGTATCCGTAAAGGACCCAGATGGGCGCCAGGACCAGAGGCACCAGGCCTGACTGATAGAATGGGCCCACTTTGAAGGGCAGCACATCGTACACCTGCGAGCATGTGAGATTTGTAATTCGGTAAAATCCCATATCAATGCTTTCAGCTGCTGCATGCTGGGCTGCTGGCAATACCTGCAGATTCAAAAGGGTCATTGTGGCAGTGCGTCTAGGTGCTGCATGCTGGGGTGGGCACTGGTGAGAGGTTAAATAGATCAAGGGGCTGCACGCGCAGGCGCTCAGACAGAATTGCCTTCTGGTGCCTTCTGATGGCTAACGCAATGGCTGGATGTAACAGACTTGTTCAAACACTCATGCATGATTGCAGGCATTGGACAGGTGCTCCACTACTGAGGCAATTTCCTCTATGCAGCTTCTGACCTCACGCCTGGATCATGCACAAGTGCTTCGGGAGATACACAGGCACAAGACAGAAGGATGTCTTTTGCAGGCCCCTACCGGCAGGAAGCCGTTGTTGTGGGTCACTTGGAAGGCAGTGCCAAAGGTGATTCCCACGAGGAAGCAGGTTCCCAGAAGCTCAGGGATGGACACGCCACTGCGCTCCAGGGCTTGCTGGGCCTCATAGAGGTCTGCAATTATGCCATTCTGCTTGGCTGCCTGTGCAGTCTCCTTTGCCTTCGACTTGGCCTTCTCCGCGACGCCCTGGCGCTGCGCCTGCATCAGGATCGTCCCTGGCCGACCTGCCCGCCTGGTGCTGGTGTTGGTGGACGCAAGCTGTCGACCGGGTAGTTGTGGGCGTGCCTGTCCAACGACCTGAGCACCCTGAACCAGCGCGCGGGGGCGTCTCAGATCAACTCAGAACATGAAGTTCTACCTGTGTGATGGCTGGGAGCCCCCAAAACGATGCAGGGTCGGGAAAAGACTTGATGCATGTCCCGCATGGGGACACACAACTTTGGCATGGGACGACGTGATCAGAGATCAGTCCGCCCATACAGTATCCTTATGTAGTGATAGTGAAATCTTATTAAAACACTGAGTAAATCCAAGGTCCTTACCTTGGAGGCCGAAGCAGCGTGACGCGAGGTGCCAATCGTGGTGCTCGATGAAGCAGGAGCCCGCATCACGCCAGATCCACCGACGCGCAACGCCTCACAATAAAGTCCAGACTTTATACTGTTTTCCTTGCGTGCTTTCTATTTCGGCTTGCAGAATGACAGCTCAAATGTAGCAGCTTGCAATGAGACTCCGAATATTGGCTGACGTCACAGCCCAAAAATAGCGCCCAAGGGATGATTGTTCCAGCTACCGATGAACGAGATACTCAATTTTTCACGGAACTTCATCATCCTGACATCGATTCATTGCCATGTTGAACCAGCAGCGATTATTGACGAAGTCAGTCCTGCACGGAGTTGGGTGCAGGACAAATTCACTGTTGTGCGGGCGACGTAGTCGCCCAGAATTCAATACTCGCTCGCCTTCACAACAGATTTCGCATCAAAAGCAGCCTTTTACAGTACAAGCACAGCAGTCGACCCTCCCACGTCAAGAGCAGAAGCAGACGATGTCGCAGACCCGGTCCGCCGGATCAAATGGCTCGGTGGATCCACGTAGCAAGCATTTCTGGACTACCAGGGACATGCCCCCGCAGGACGGCAAGGTGGTGATCGTGACTGGGGCGTCCAGTGGGATGGGATGGTACTGCGCACAAGCACTGGCTGAGCACGGAGCGCACGTCATCATTGCTGCCCGAAGCCTGGACAGATGCCAGACCGCAGCTAAGCTCATCGAGGTGCTGATCGATACCTTTCACCTTGAATCATCAGAATTCATGTTGCAATGCGATACAATATCGAGCAGGTATGGACAGGAAGTGCCAAGAGATTGAAGGATTGTCTACTGCACACGCAGGAGACTGGAGTGCGCGGCAAAGTGGATGCAATGCACCTAGACCTCTCCTCTTTCAGGTGCGAACAATTCATGACCTCCAATATGCCCAGCATCCCGGCCAATGTTTGTGTGTGGCACATGACAGCACAATATTGTGCTCAGACCTGCTATCGCTTCAGCCAAGCCGACAGCACCAGCTGAGCACATTGCACTCAATCGCATGTCTACGCGCTTATATGACCAGGACTAGTAGAATCGCTTTGCTTCCGCTCGTGCATTTGTGCTCCTGCCATGCGCGCAGGTCGATCGTGAACTTTGCGAACGAGTTCAAGGCAAGGAACCTGCCGCTCCATACGCTGGTGAACAACGCCGGGGTGTTTCTGGTGCCTTTCGACCACACGCAGGAGGGCTTTGAGACCACCGTGGGCATCAACTACTTTGGCGGCTTCCTGCTCACCCACCTGCTCATGGACAAGCTCAAGGAGACGGGGCCTGGTGCCAGGCGAGTTCAAACTTGCACTCGGTTACAAAAAATGGGGAATACACATATTTAGATTAAAGCAAAGCAAAGCAGTTGCAGATGATAAGTTCTCGCTGCTATGATGCATGCAATATCCGGTGATCTTTATGTGGCCTTGCCAAAGTGATCCTCATAGGCACATGTTGTAAATGAGACTGTTGTGTCAAAGGGTCAATTAGTCCAGGACATACCAGTCAGTGATGCGTGCAGTCACACTGCTGACGCTTGATCAAGGGCACTGCTTGCCCGAATTTACTGTCACCTGATTCGTTTAGACGAAACACTGGTGAAACATTCTTTATGGACCTGCAGGGTGGTGTCCATGGCGTCACTATTTGAGCTGCTGGGCAGCGTCAACTGGAGCGACCTGGAGGGCAAGTCTGCCAAGGAGAGTGGCCTCTTCGAGTACAGCAGCTCTAAGATCGAGGTCATCATGTTTGTCCGCGAGCTCAACAAGCGCCTCAGGGTGAGCCTCACTGCTTTTCTCATCCTGCTTCCTTGGCACATCTGAAGCAAGGACGTGTCCTAAGTATGAAGATGACTGCATCCTCCTTTACTGTGATAGCGCATGTGAAACAGAGATGTGATGCAGATATGCTAGATTACTTGTGGTTCATGCCACGGCCTGAGAGCTACTCGTGGAAGTACTGTCCCAGAATCTTATGCAATCAGTGGAAAGTGCATGCGAGGTATACACAACTGCTAGAGGACCGTGTTTAACCTCCACCTTTGCCATCACACACACTTGCACGCTTTTTGATGGGGAATCAAGTTTGGGCATTGCCGGATTGTCATTTCTACGGGTCACACACAAGGGTGCTGCAGGATTGGCCTTGTCAACGTTTTCCTTTCACGCTTATGTGATGGATCTGGAAGGGTGCCACAGCTCACAATCCTGCCTCTTGCACCCAACACTGCTCGGTCTTCAGTATGTGCAGACTGCAGCCCTCTGCGCAGGGCTCTAGCACGGCATCAGTACTCTTCACATACCGCCAGCAAGCATGAATTGATCGCGAAGAAATTTTTATGATTGGCGCGTGTCACATACCTCACTTGCCGGAGGGTGGTTCAGCATCTGAGCACCACGCCCATGGTTGATTGTGTCCTTGGATTTGTTTGAGTCCAACACACTTCTTTGGATATGATTTTAGCAACCTTTAATGCAGCTTCCTCAATGCACCTTGACTCGTGGCAGGAAATGCCCCGGCATAATGATAATGATGGCGATGTCCTCGGTACTTATCATCGGCTCTTGTTGCGGCGCAGGGCAGTGGTGTGGAGGTGTTTGCGTCGCAACCGGGCCTGGTGCAGACGCAGCTCAACATGCGCAAGCTGGACCACGGCAAACTCACAGCAAATTTGGTTGACCTGGCCACGCGCGTCTACGGCCAGCGCGCTGACAAGGCCTCCCTCTGCCTCCAGCGGCCCGCCTCAGACCCCACCGTCGATGGTGCGCGACCCCTGCCATCTCCCTTATGATACATGATGTCCTGTCTAGGGTTTGTATGCATGATTGATTGTCCCAAGTAGATGCGTCTCTAGTAAACGTGCATGTCGACCTCCATCGGTGTGCTGCACTCTCACAAAGTATTGCATGTTTTGAACACCCCACTGTCGACGGTGTGCGCCCCCTGCTGGTTTGTGGGTTTTTCTAAATATTTCGGAATGTGGCTTTGGCAATCATGCAGCTGCTTTCCTGTACGGTGTCACTGCACATTTCTCCAGTGCATGTGCAAACCCCACAATAGACAGCTGTTGGATTGCTGTGGCTGCTTCTCACATCTACATGTGGGTGGCCCCCCGCATCTGTTGAGAGTGCTTGCAATGGTGCTGGGCCTGGGGGTCTCAGGGGTGAGGCACACCATCAACAGTGCTAAATTCCACCAATTTGATTTACAGCAGCGTGCTGTGATGGGTACGATTTGCCGATAGCATGTGCGCACGCAGGCTACGGGGGCTCCTACTTCAGCCCGCCCTGGCTGTGGTTGCTGGCCATCAACCTAGACCACGCAGGCATGCGCGAGCCGGGCAACTCCCTGGCGCGCGACGAGGCGGCCTGGGCGCGGCTGTACAACCAAACGCTGCTCATCGTCAATTCCAAGCTGCAGGAGAAGAATCTGCCCACCATTGAGTCCGTTTAAGTGTGCCTTGTGTGTGCACCCGCAGAGCATATTCAGACAGTTTGCCCATGTAGCTTGTGGCCAAAGTGTTGAAAAACAAGAAGATTTGATGGTATTAAAGACAGAACAATTTGCTTTCAGATTTTTAACAAGTGCAGAGAGGAGGTCCAACTGATCGTTGGCGGACAAGGTCACAGGTCAGTGAGCGGTTGCATTTTGGCAAGTACGAGGTGCCTTATCTCATGTCTGGCGCTGAGCACCCAGCAGATTGGCAATTCTGCTTTTGCTGGAATATTCAGCAGCGTCCAGAGTAGTTCTTGCTGTTATTGTAAACATGTGGTGATGAACAGCAATTGTTGGAAGTTGCAATACTTTTGCCAAGAGGAAGACTTTGTTTCATTCGATTTGAACGGCCAGTATGACGAACTATATGATGGATGTTTCCTCCACCAAGCAATCCAAGGAGTCAAGATGAGGAGACACAGACAAAGAGTCATTGTGTTCTGCGAGTGGGACACTGTTTTACAAGGTGCCCACATGCAGAGTGTTCTGATGCAGACTTCTGTCACAGTATACATACGGTATCTATCCCAATGTGTGTGTTTTAACAGTCTGCTCTTTGAAAAGATTTCAACCTGCTTTTGCTTTCAACGTGGGCATTATCACCAACTGCTTCCAAGCACAGCAAGCGCATGGTCCAGTTTGCGTATCACAGATGCCACGAGGACATTCTGTGCGTGCAGCACACCTCTCCACCAGGTCTCCAGTGTCCGCCTGGCGTCCAATCTAGGCTCCCATGCCCGCAGCACATCCTGGTCATCTTGGGCACTGAGCTCTGCTTGCACAAGCGCCGTTGCCGACTCTCCTTTGACATGCATGCTGGATTCATGCATATTCGTTGCTTGTTGCGCTGCTCATTATTCCAGTACGCATTCATGTGTACTTGAGGGCCTCAAATTGAGATTGAGCTGGTCCTGATGTGTGCAGAGTACTGGGTGCTGGAGACTCTTGCGTTCCTCAAAGGAACAATAACAAAAGCGAAGGATGACTAGCTGAAGCACATCACCAATTTTAAATCCTCCTGCCATCAGGGCGCTTCAATTGGTGCATGGCTGTCAGGTTTTGCTGGAAGCTGTCTCCAGCTTCTGCTTGCAGAGTTGTGACCCACAAAATGTTTCTGTTGTGTCATTATGCATAATGGAGGTTGCTGGGTCAATTGCATTGCCTATATGTCCTCAAGGAGCGCAAGGGAGCAGCAAGATTCGTGACAATTGCCTGAAACTATGGATCTTGCAGGATTTCAGGAGACAACAGCAGGAATCACTGCAGCACAGCATGGGGGAACAGGTGAGAGGCTCCTAGCACCAATCATGGGCATGAGTAGCTTTACTCGATACAAATATGGCACATTCATTTCCCTGGCGCGCAATGATTCGATGCCGCAGGAGGGCTTCTTCACACTCGACATTTGAAGCCCAGGGGTAGCACGGATGCTCCCATGCAAATGGTGGTCAGCGATGGCAGGCTGGATGTCACTGCGATAGCGGTTGGGATAGGATCCATCTATGGATGGAAATTCCCTGCACAGTCATGCTCTACTCAGGTGACTCCAAGTCAACTGCTGTCTCTTCAGTCATTTTTGGTTCTCTTCAAGGCAGTCTCCCCTGTGGCAAGACAACAAAGCGCGTTATCTCGCTGTAATCTACCGAGCTTCCTGATGCAATGATCACCAAATCTGAGCAGGAGGACGCCGTATTGGTGCAGCGCCGATCACAGATAGCTATGCAGTGTTTGAGATGCATCAGCTGCTTGAGCGGGGCGGCACAGCAGATGAATTCATCGATCTGTGCGCGTATGATCGCAAAGAGGGGTCTTGTCCCACACTACGACAGTTTCCGCATGGGACCTGGCATGCACAAGTCATCCCGCACCCTACGCATAGCGGGTGGCGTCCACCGCGGACTTTCCCAAGATGGTGAACATGAGGGCTGTGATGAGGTAGGCAAGCTTGTGGGCGAACCAGCTCCACAGTTGGCGCCACTTCTCGGCAAGGAAGTACCGATAATTGAACGTTGCAACCACAAAAGTGCGTTCCATGTACTTTGCCCCCTTCGTATTTTGCTTGAGAGCCCGTAATCTTCTTTGCATGCCTTCAACGTATTTCACGAACTCGGTGAGCTTCAAGTTATTTGAATGAAAGATCTTGTGCTTGCAGCGTTCAATTATCGGTACTTCCTTGTCGAGAAGTGGCGCCAACGGTGAGCTGGTTCGCCCACAAGCTTGCCTACCTCATCGCAGCCCTCATGTTCACCATCTTGGGGAAATCCATGGTGGACGCAGCCCGCTATGTGTAGGGTGCGGGGTGACTTGTGCATGCCAGGTCCCATGCGGAAACTGTCGTAGTGTGGGACAAGACCCCTCTTTGCGATCATAACCGCACAAATGAATCTTTCAGCCACTTGATGTAGCTGTGCACCATGGAAAGGTTTGATTCCAAGGGGGGTTTTGAGATGATGGTGCGGCAACCCTAAAGAGTTTGTGCCTGCAAAATGCATGTTTGAACCCAGTGGAACCTGCTATTGGACCATGTCCCTTGCATGGTTGCAATTTTTCATTTCCATGTTCATGTGAGTTTCATCATGCTGCTTAAAAGCTCTGCCAGAGATCTGGAATGGAGACAATCACATTTTCCTATCAGCTGCACCAAATTTAGTGTGCATTATTAATTGTACTGTGATTTGTAACGAATCGTGGTGTGGTGAATTGCAAACCGTGACATTGTCATCCCCTTTCACTGCAATACAATTGTCAAGGCTGTGACAAGATCCTGGCAGCAGAAGCACCACCATATAGAAAAGCAAGCACGATTTTTGAAGACTGTGCACACACAATCGAGTACGATACATTATTGCCTGGCTATGCCAGCCCATTGCTGCCAAGCACAGCGATCGCACGATCCAGTCTGCCAGTCACAGACGCCACAAGGACATTCTGTTCATGCAGCAACCTCTCAAGTATTCGCCTGGCGTCCAATCTAGGCTCCCATGCCCACAGTCCTCCACTGCCAATCTGGTCATCTTGGGCACTGACCTCGGCAAGGAGGCTGCCCACTTGCAATGCCAGGTCATCCTCTCCAATATTGCGCGCCTTTAGGGCCTCCCTCAACCCCTATCAGCCCCGGCACTGAACATTAGACTATCCAATGTTTGAACTCAATTGACAAGTAAAGCGATAGAAGATTTCTGGCCATGGAAGCTCGCTTGCTTTGGGGTAAAATGGACAGAAGTGCAAGGCAGCAGTGAAGCCGACATGGAGAGGCGGGTGCAGCGGTGTCTGAGATCATACCTGCAGGTGTGTCCCAAGGGACTGGCAGCTGCCGCACAGCTTCTCCTGCAGCGCTTCGTGTGCAACGCTGGAAACGTCACCGGCATCAGCACCGGCCTTCTTGCCCTTCCTCCTCCTCTTGAGGGGCGTGGTCCAAGCCTGTGCATGCAAATATTCAACTGTAGGTGCACATGAGCTTCTGTGAGCAGGTGGCGGTATCGATTGCCACAGCTCACAGCAGGATGTCAAGATAAGTAGCACAAAAAAAAATACAGAAAATCACAATCTGACGCAGAAAAAGAAGACGCAGATATCGCAGCTACATGACAACCAAAATAGGACAGGGGCAGAATTGGCTTCAGGGACCAGGGACAGTATGGCATGCAAGGCTCACACCTGCAGACATAGCGCGAGCCAGTAGGCTTCCTCATTGGCAAAGGCTGCCGCCACGAAGACAGCGTCTCCAGTGGCAACCAAAGGGCCGCCACTGCCTATGAGTTCCCCTGAAAGCCGAGCGCTCAGCGCTGAGACAAAGCTGTCCACAGTGTGCAATCGCAGCACCGCTTTCTGGGCCAATGCCTCCTCGCTGGGTTGGGCTAGGGAGGCCTGAAGTAGCAAACAGCAATAAAGGAAATTAGACATCCTGACAGATGTGGATATGCTGCACAAAGTAACAGAAGGGAGAATGCAAGACATGAAGGTTTTGCAAGCGCCAAAGTAGGAGAAAGGGCTACAAATGCGCATGCTACTCTAGACCCACACCATGCCTTCTGCACTGCTCACCGCAATGGCGGCGCACTGAGAAGGGAAGCAAGACAATGCGGCGTACGCGCATGTCCAGGCCAAACCCGGCCAAAGGGAACTGAATATATTTGAAAGGGTGATTGCTGCAGGGAGTGGTGTGCCCTCAAAGTAGACCTAGGGCCATGGGGTAGGGGCCGTTCGGTGGATTTGAGAGGGTGGCTCGCTGTTGCCTCCGATTTCATGCCTCACAGCCCCGTGCACACGGCGGGCTGCCGGCTCAGAGCGGGGCTTTTGTGCCTGCCAACTTCTGTGCTGTAGCTGTACTCTTTCTTCATTTTCTGATATTGTGCACCTTGCCCACAATAAATATTTTTTGATAACTACCACCACTACCTGGCCATACTTCAAGATATTTTGACAAGCAAAAAAATTACTATTATATATATATTTTATTATTATTTTTTACATTATACCCGACATTGGAAGGGTAGCAACACCTGCACAGAGCTGGCAGCGACAAAGGTGGCGAGGCAAAGCAGTTCGCAGAGGTCTGGCAGGTGCTGCTGAGACGCAGCTACCTCAGACAGCTCTCCCAAAGCCACCCCTTGGAGTTGCGCCAATCGCTCCACTTCGCCTGCAATAGAAATTCTGTGCTGGACCCACGTTCTGGAGCTACACATGCAGAGCTCACCACTTCTCATGCCCTGCAGGTCATTTCTCTAGCTTCCTCATAAGTATGCAAAACATCCGCGGCGGCGGTGTGCCCAACCTTCCAGGGGGCAGACAGGAGACGAGTAGTACTCTCCATGTGCTGCAAGCAGAATTGACCCACCACTTCTCACCCAATTGGTCCTCAGCGGATGTGAAAAAGTTTTGCTGTGCAAATGCTGTTTCAGTACACAGAAGTACAGCAAGAAACCTTGCAATGAAACAGCCGCGGCAGCATGGTCCGCTGAGGTGGCGTCGGCAATGAGGGAGGGCAGCAGGGAACGACGCTGCAGGGCCGCTGTGGCCGCCGCCCGGTGCGCCTCGGCCTCCGGGGATACACTCTCGGCCGCCAGAGTGCGCCCCCACCAGCACCGCGCGTAGCCTGCCCGCACTAGGTCATTCACAAATTCCCCAAAGATAGATGGTCCGAGCTTTGCAGTGCTAGCATTGTACCATTGCTGGTGAGGTGGCAGCGTCATGTTCTTGTAATTCTAACGGGTGGCATCGTCATACAGGGCTGTCTGCTCTGCGTTCTGCTGGATTGATTGAGAATTGGCCACCAACACAGTGCACACGGCCTTACGAAGATGAGTCCTTTGGCATCGGCAACCAAACGCTTCTGACCGAAGCCCTCTTTCACACAAAGCTGTCCTAAAGAGAACATGTGCCTTTAAGATGGTTCTTTGAGAGGAAAGCAGAATCAGCAGCTGGCACGGTGACATGGCATGGCGTCGAGGGATGCACACCGTGGCTGGTCTGTTGGGCAGGCTGACTGGACCACCATCTGGCGAGTGCCAGACTAGGCCGCCCGCTGTCCGGGGGCAGCCATGCAGGCCGCGTGTTCAGGTCCTCGTTGAATCGCAGCGCGCTCGTTGTGGCCTGCCCGACTGCCAGCACGCCAGCTGGCAGACAGCTCTGCAGCTGCGCAACAGCCCCTGCAGCAATGTCTTGCACCTGCAGGCACAGATAGTGAGAGACTGGGGCCAGAATAGCTTGTGACCGGCAGCAAGGACGGCATTGAACCGCAGGCTCATTTAATGTTGACATCTTGGCCCAATCCCATTGGCAGACGGCACAGGAGGCCGTTGCCATATACACGTGATGCTGAAAATCGAGACACGAGCACAAGCGCCATTGCTTGAACTCATGCAGGTCATATATTTCACAAAGTGCTGGTTCCAGGCAGTTTGGCATGAATATTAGTAAGCAGCACAAACCTGCGCCGCGGCAGAGTCTGGGAAGTCAGGAGGTGACGTCAGCGCCAGCACAGCGCGCTCACAGTACGCCACAGCACGCGTGTGCGACTGGCCCAGGCGCTCCTTAAACCGCACGAACTCCAACACCTACACATTTTCCTCCACTGAGTGAAGAAATATTTATCCCATAATGAAGTGTCACATCCTGCCATGAGGCAGTGACGAATCTCCATCCAAGAAGGGTGATGACAAGGGGGGGATTGGTGAGTTTCTCCAGGAATGATGCAGGGCAGAGGAATTGCAATTGTTGGCAGGCAAGAATGCTTCAATCTCAGGAGTAACGCGTGGGATGTCTGAAGACCTTGGTGAAGCTGCTGGCCTGGAAAGCAGCCAGCACGGTGTCCCTGCAGCACAAGCGCCGGTCTTCAGATTACATCCACACGGAGATATTGTGCTAACAGTCATTGTCCCTCCATAAGTTTGTAACCACAGACGGCTCTGATCAAGGCAGCAACCATTCACGGAAAGTTGATCGACACTCACCCGGCGTCTCGGTTGTGGTCCTCAAACATGCGCAGGCAGTCGGCCAGAAGCTGCGCTGCCAGGTCAGAGCGAAGCGTGCCCAGCAGCGAGGGCAGCAGCCAGTGTCCTGCACACCATTACTCATTCAGGCATTACATCACCTTTCTCGAGCATGAAGAACTCCATCGCGGCCAGCGGGCACCGAAAGCATGGACATAATGACCAAATCACGCGGCCCTGGGGAATGGTCATCGCATTGGCAAAAGTGAAATACGTGGAGCAAAAAAACAGAATATATCTTCTGTGGGACCGGTGGTGCACCTGCTTGGCATGTTTACGGCTCCCATTGCCAGAAGAACCGTAAAACTCCGAAAGCGAGCACACCGCCGGTCGCACCACTCCACTCTCCTCTGTGTTTTTAGAAGGTAATGTTTACAGTGCAGAAAGAATTCTCTCAGGGTTGTAACACACACCTGAGAGGGTGTCGTGCTGGATGTGTTTAATGTCCAGCGCGGTAAAGCTCTCCAGCGCCATAGTCGGTGCCCCCAGCAGCCCATACAGCCCCATGGCTGCGAGCCTCAGAGGTGCACTCACTCTGCGCGCCACCTGAGCTGCCTCCAGTACAAGCACCGCCTGTCCAAGAAACCCAAATATGCTCATCAGCAATGGCACTTTTACTGCTATCTTCTGGATACGTCTCTGCCACCTGAGACTTCATCCTGTAGACGAGGCACTGATGCTTTTACTGATGTATTCCTCCCACAGCTTGTGCTACTTTGTGTGACCGTTTATATCCACAGAAAGAGATATGCAGCACACCAAGGCAGAGTGAGCGCCAGCGACTGTGCGAAAGGCTGTCTCGCAAGTGGGGATCATGCAGCAGCAATGCAAGCTTTGATACAAACGTGAATAAAAATACGTATTCACGTAGGGGCACAGTAAGTTCTCACAAAGAGCTTGCCAGAGCAAACACAATCAGCGGAGCGCACATTGAGCAGGCGGTGCGGTCTCCGGGGCGTTGCCTCCAGCTTCCAGGCGGCTACAAGTGCACCAGCAGCCAGCGCCACCAGCCCATCGGCGATGCCCCTCTCCTTCTCATCCAGGCCACTCTCCAACGCTGCTGCTTGCCTGTGCCACATCAGCACATAAGTAACGACGCTACACATCTTCTCACTTTTTCTCCGCACTTTTTCACACTCAATTTGACGACAGTGAATGCCTTGATAACAAGCCCGCAAGAAATTTACATCCCTCCTCGGTGCTGAATTTCAGCCCTGGCATGATGTAAGCCTCAAGATGCAGAATGAGCCAGGAAAGGGTGAGTGTCAGTAGAGCAGTTGCCTGTATGTGAAAACAAGCTCGGCAGCATGTGCTTCGGCTTCTTCTGGTGTTTGGTACTCTGGAAGTCCTAGGTCGTGCTGCACCTGTCAATAACACAGAACATACATCGCACTTCTTAGTGCAGCTAAAATGTACAACAGGTGAAGGACTCCTAAGGCTACTCACAATTTGTTGCCTGATCATGTGCGTCACATATCTGCCAGCTGGGGATGTGCATGCCACGAAAAGGGCAATGCAAGCATGTGATACCTGAAGAGCAGTCACTCGTCTCTGAATGAGCGCCGGTGATGGGGACACTCCACTGCTCGCTTCCTGCCCCTTACAGTGGGCATGCATCGCTGCACTCAGCCACTCTCGGGATGCACCCTCCACCCTTGCACTGTAAGGCCTGTCAACAAGCAATCCAACTTTTAGTCTGTCAAACGGACTTTATGACATATTAGTCATCCTCACGATGTCTGATTCGTTAAGGGTCATCTCAATTATCTAGAGTTTCAATTGAGTAATGACTGTGACCCTGATGATGATGCACACCCTGAAGCATCATGCCCATGGCAAATACAACAGCATGATCGGCTTGATCGGCACCTGAGGTCAGCAGCACAGCTGGCAAGGTGGCCCACGCGTTCAATATAGCGCAGAACAGCCGCGGCGAGATCAGGCGTGTCAGGCTTTCCTTCCTGCTGCCCCGTTGAGCTCGCAGTCTGCCCAGAGCTCCTCCTCTCTGCAAGGCTCAGCTTCCGCGCCTCAAGGTCGACTGCTGCCAAGGAAGGGCCGCGCAATTTGGCGGCCGATCCGCCACCGACCGCAGCTGAAAGCTTATCCACAAAGTCCTCAGCCTCCTGTACATATTTCATGACACTCAGATACATGCAAAGGTTGAGGGACATGCAATCTCAGCAGAAATGCCGGATTATAGCATGTTGCAACAATCTAGATACTGCCGTGCTAGTACCCGATCAATATCCCGCAATCTCTGCAGATTAAGTCACTAATTTTGAGTCTGCGAGATGGCTTTTAGTAAGTTTCAGCCTGCGGGAAAGCGATTGAAGGATCACATAAGAATTATGTTTGGCACCAATATGCACTCTCTACTAGTAACATTGGGCCAAATTTGGAAGGCAACGAAGAGCACAGTATTATAAAATTGATAGCTTGGCCGGATGTTGCACCTGGATGTCGGCATCAGAGCCGTGTGCAGCTCCATTGATGTGCTGTAGACCGGATGAGCCATTTGCGCTGATGGAGAGTTTGCAGATCTGCACAGCCCCATTCGTGGGTGTGGCTGATGCGGTTGGGTGTGCTGCTGTGAGCACGCAGTCCAGGAAGCCCTGAATAGCTGCCCAGTTCTGCGGGTGTGCGAGAGCCACATGCATGTAGATGGTTGCCGCTTGTTTGCCATCTCCAGTCTTAGCCTGCACAGGCCAAACTGCTGATCACGCCCATATGAGAGTCATCCACCAATGTTCTGAGTGAATCACGCACACAGGAGTCTTTTTCGATCATCAGCAGCAAATAAATATCACCCGCACGACTGCCCATCTCTCTGACAGACTGGATAAGACCCAGCCTATAGGCATGGTGCAGCAATGTGGACAATATCTGTACCATGAGGTCTGCCACCATAAGCTCCCTTTCCCCTTCCAGGTTGAAGGCATCCCCCAATGGCCCCTTCACTGCCTCCAACGCGTCCTTGTATTGCCTCCTCTCCTGCAGCATACAGAACTAAAATCAGTCCACTCACCAAAGCATTTGAATCTGCGCAATCCACCCAAATGCGCATGCCTTGCATGCTTTGGGTCCTGTTCTGTGCAGGTCAAGCTGCTAGGCAAAATGCACCAAGTCTGGCCACCCGTAATCATGCCAGATATTGTAGAATTGTGATCAGCTAAAACGTCACTGCTATCAACTTTACAATGTGATTTAAAGTCCTGCAGATCTCACCTGCAAGATGCTGTGGTACAGGAGCAGCGCATTGACAGGATCGCCCTCTTCCGACCTGTTCTCCTCCAGCTGCTTGGCTGCCATGGTCTGTGCCAGCTGCAGCAGCTTCTCCCCATTGCCACCACCCTTGCCTGACCTGCCTGCCTGACCTGATTGCACAACATCACAAAACATATCTGGGACTCTGCATGCGCATCCGGTTGGCCCCTTCACTCTATCGCCACTCTGACTGCTCAGAGGCAGACGCGCAGAAAAGGAATGCATCCTGGTTCTATGCAGACAGATCAGAGAGCAAATGCCATGCCATAGAATGCAAGATCTACCAAGATGATCTCTGCGAGATCAATGACACAAATTCCTCTGTGCAGCACCTGAGGCTCGTGCTTGCAGCACCAAGCTGGTCACGATCCACCAGAGGTAGTCGCCCCTGCTGCGATCCAGCCGGTGCAGCTTCATGGCCGTCTGCTGCTGCTTCACAAAGTCCAAGGCCCTGCGCATCAGTGCCTTTGCTGCTCGATATGCATGTGATGACAAGTCACGCCATCACATGCAACGCTTGAAGTGATACTGATCATGTCTGTCTGGAACAGGAAGCATAATAACAATGTGTGTGGTAAAGATGCTTGCATGCGCAGTGTGTTTGGGAATGCAAATAAACTGGCACACCTCGTGTACATGCTCAGCAGCACAGTCAGGAGCCCGGCATCATTTGGCCGGGTCCTGACGGCCGCCTCATAGGCTGACGTCAGCTTGGCCTGGTGCGCCCTTGACTTGTACACCATAGAGAGGATGTTGAGGACCTGCTCGTCGGTGGGTGCCTCGTTCAGAACCTGGTCACACACCTGCCAGGCCAGCAAGTTCAGGATTAAGCACCAATAAATGAAACTTCCAATGCCCATGAAGCAGGGTAGGTTGGGGCAATGGTGAAGGGAGACTTCATATGAAGCTGAGCCTGAGGGTGCTGACCTCAAAAGCTTCGTTGACACGGTCCATTCGTTGCAGAGCGAGGCCCTTGAGGACGCGCAATATCTGGTTGTCCTTGTACTTTTGTAAGGCAGCCGTGGCCAGCTTGACAGCTGCCTGCAAACAGTGCAATCCCATTCGCTAGGACACCATGCTGAGCAAGTACATATCTGTCATGGCGACGGACAAAACACTAACAAGTATTTGTGGTTTCGAGATGAAACATGATGCATCTACCTTTGGATTCCTGGCATCAAAAGCCTCATAGATTGATCGCAGCCTTCTCTCGAGAGCCTCCATCCGGCTATATACACAGATTGGCTAGCAGATTCCCTTTGTGTATATATTGATCTTATTTCACAACTTGAATCTAATTAAGGCTTTCACTTGAATGAATGAGGCGCTGACCGCAACTCAGCCGACAATCCTAGATGCCTTCACGATCTAGCCAATGTAAGGTTGCTATCAGGTCCATTGAAAATAAATTTTAATTTTTGGACATTTCAAGTTGTCAAATACATTCATGAAAGCGAATGGGAAGCTGGGAGGCGATGGTGGATCTGTGCATGCTGACCGAGGGGTGAGTCACCACCCAAAGACTAGCTAGATCTCTATATCTAAGTTAGTTATAGAACCCCCTGGATCTTTGTTTCTCCCTTGTTTGAATTGGATTGGAAGATCATTTGATAAGTAAATGATACTAATATTACAGACTGTTAGAAAATCGATGTCTGGCTTCGTGCAGCGTGATATCACATGTTATCACAGATCGCTGGAACTCCGAGACCGCTACCGAAGCTTATAAGTAAGAAGAGATTAGCAGTCTCAGCCCAAAGTCAGCATAAAAGTGACAATAGTTCTGTGAGTCAGTCAGACAGAAGAAAGGGGTCGGCTTGGGAGGACGGGACCAGGGAAGCGTACCAGGTGATGCTACCTCGTTGCCCTCCCATTCCCCATCAGCAAATTATGCTACTTGTCCCCATATGCTGTTGTACAGCATTTCGAAATCATGAATTGTCCAAGAACGGGTCTGCATTGTTGACGAGCCAGCTTCTGGAGAGAACTGTTTTGTCTGCGCAGGTTGATATCTCCACAGGCTTTCCTGTCGCGGTGGGCTACAGGAGACCGGGAGGAGAGCAACACTGGCTATCATGGAGGGATCAGAGGGCCAGGAACTTAGCAGCTAGGGATGGAGAGGAGGGCAGCCACCAGGGCTCTGAGCGCAGCAGTAAGTCACCAAAATTACAACAATCTGCATTCCTTAACATAGTGGCATACATCGGTCTTTGCCGTAATGTCTTTCCATCTGAACTGATCCAGCAAATGGCACTGCATCGATGTGCTATTACTGTACAACAGAAATGTTCACTTACTCTTAATGGAAGCATGCCTCGGGCACACACATGTGAATAATAAGCTCCAGAACAGATGTGCACATGCCGCATGCATGTATGGAGTAGTAGAGAGACCAAGCTGCTGTGCATGTCTATATTGTGACGGCATGGCATAATACAGCGCTGGCAATGGAGCGCGCAGTGGGTGCAGCCACTCTGAGACTTACTGCTTTGCCGTGGAGTAGGGGAACCAGAGGAGGGCATGGACCAGGACTCTGATGTGTGGCCTGTATACCGCACATCCCCCTACAGGGCGGAAGCTGCCAGGCAGGCGCAGGCCAGCACCACCACCCGTATCCTCTTTGTGGACGAGGGCCATCAATGCAGGTGGGCTTCAAGCCCCCAATCTAGCTATCCATCATCAGACAGCTCATATGCCAAGGCCCTGATGAGGGGGGACCCATGCATGAGAAGCCCCCAAAAGCATTAAGGAGATAGAAGCGCATCGGGAGAGTTCTTTATGTGTCAGGGAAGTTTGCGCCTCAACATACAAAAGGCAGTCTCACACTGCTTAGTCTGCAGAGAGCCTTGCTTGTGGCTTTTGAAAATAAGAGGGCAATGAGCAGATGAAAAGTCAGTGGTTTGTACTGCTTTTTCAGACCGTAGAATGTCTATCTGCAGGTCTGTACTGGCCCAAGCCATTTTCGAGGACCTGCTGAAGTGCTATGGGCGCCACCTGGACGTCCGAGTGGAGTCTGCTTCTGTGGGACCTGCTCCTCCAGGTAACCGCACCCACTCAAAGCAGCATCATGTCCCCCATTTTTCCTGCACCCCGTCAACACTGCAGCTCACTGTTGAGTGACTCATCTTGAGTCAACGCACCGGGAATTAGTGTCTACTGCTGTGCAATGCTTTGCATGGTTACGGTCCGGCATGCGGTTGTATTAATATCTAGGTAGAGGTATACAAGAGCTGCCCAGATATATCTCTGAAGGGATCAAGACAATCCAAGTGCTCTTGCGCCGGGGGAGTGTGTTAATGTTGCTGCATGCATTTCCACTTGCGAGGCAGCTCGACCTGTCATCTCTTGCGCTCGCTCTGCCTTGATGTCTGCGTCCCTCTTCCTTCAAAAGGTGCTGTAAGAAGAGTGTGTTGGTGCAGGTGAGCATGACAGGAGGGTGGTGGCAGCTGCCCGGCAGGCGCGTGTGTCGCTGAGGCCGCGGCTGCCGCGCGTGTTTGATGAAGTCGTGGACATTGTCAACTTTGACCTGGTCGTGGTCTTGGACCACTTCGACCTCACCGAGGTATGTCGTCACCCTAGACCAGCATTGTGGCGCACTTGGCATAGTTTTACACTTTGCATGCACTATGCTCCCTCACTTGCTGTCTATTTACCTTATAGCCAGCCACGGTGGGAGAGCGTAGATTGCTCATAACGGTGGTGGATGGAAGACGCTCTGATTCAGAGGCCATATCTGCTCCGCAGGTGGTCAAGGAAGTCGCGGTACTGGACAACATAAATCCAGGCGGCCTCTACGCAGCTCGTGTGAAGTTGCTGGGCAGGTGCACTTCAGCCCACCTGACCCCTCACAACACCCTGGTTGCGCTTGCATTTCAATATTGGCAGCAAGGTGCTCTCTAGAGCACCTGTAGATGTTTTATGACGTCAGGGCATGCTGGATCATTGGGGACAACTTAATAGCCGTAAACTGAGCCAGCATACTTATTGTTCAGTTGTCAGGACAGCTTGTACGTAAAAGAGGAAGGCTATCTAATCGTTGCCCAGTAGGGCATCTACCAAGATGTTTTCCTGTACACCAGTAAAGATCTTTGATATCTTGGACTTACACATTGCAACAGGTATGCGCCCAAGGCGGCATCATTTGCGGGGCCGCCTTCGCTGGGAGCAGAGGACATTCCGGACCCCTTGTATGGAAATGCGGGCGGTCCGGCCGAGCTGGTGCGGCTGCGCACGACCGTGCAGCAGATCCGCGCCGCCTGCAGGGGGCTCCTGCGCCACCTGCTGGACCTGGACAAGAGGTTTGTCCCTGTCCTGAAGCGCTGTTGCACCTGGGATTAAACAACTCACGCTCAGCAGAACCCAGCTTCGCGGCTCTGACAGGAGGTGGGAAGCCTCGCCGCCGCCGCCCTCGGTCAAGACTTCTTGAACAAACCCCCCACATTTCGCAGTCTGCCCATCTTGTCATGCCCCACAACACTTCAAGCAAATGGCATTGCGAGGCATGCCAACGGGAAGTTTGGCTCTTGTCTGCGTGTGTGCGGCCCCATGGAGCACCAAGCACTATCCTTGAGTGCATCGCCCTATTTCAAAAACTGCGAGAGTGATCTAAGCAGTGCGGCAGGAATCATCTGACGCCGTGATGTCACATGGCGGCAGGTGCCGGGGCGGGCTGCCGCTGTCCAAGGCGCTGTTGCAGGCGCTGCAGTGCCCGCTGCTGTCCGCCAGCGCCAGTTGCGCGGTCGCCCCCCGTCTGCACCGCACGCGCGCGCAGCGCCCGGTGTGGCGCGAGGCCGTCGGCGCGGCCAGGGCCGGGGATGCGGATGCGGCCGCCGCCTTCTACACCATCCGCGTCATCAACGGCAAGCAGCGCGTCGTGCGCCGGCCGGGCGCGCCCGCAAAACCGTGCGTGCCGTGATCCCTACATACAAACTTTAAATTTATAAGAACAAATACCGAGAAGCAGTAAATGCAGGATGGTTTTGTAGCTGAGCACGCCTGGCTTTTAGAATGCAGCTTGCTGCCTGCTGGTCAGGGACTTTGATCTTTACAGTTCTCAACTGCAATCGCACCTGCATTGTTGTCTATTGCACCTTCTACAGATGACTGGACACTGAGGATTCTGATAGGTACTCCGTGGCTACATCTGCGATTTGTTGAATGCTTGGTGACAATGACGGGGTAAGTAGATGCACCTAAAGGCACATCAGCGATATGGAGCAAGTCCAGGTACAGCAGTGAGTTGCATTTTCCCCCGGAATGCAGGGGTTACTGGAAGGACCGCAAGAACGTGGAGGCGGAGCTGCGCAAGTTCATGGCCACGCATGGCATCTCCGGCCGGATGCCCTCCTGCACGGAGCTGCGCGAAGCCGGCGCATTCACGTTATACTCTGCCATATCCAAGCACGGCGGCGTCGGCGCCTTTGCCAGGCAGCTCGGGTGAGTCTTACTATTTGTCGCAATAGCCATGTCTCCCTTTTTGGCTGTGGCACTGCCACCATGTTGCATTCTCTTCATTACTGATGTCGCCATGCAAGTTCCCTACCATTCTCTTGATCTTTGTGTTGAGTACTCAGCGGGGTGGGGAACCCTTGGGTAGCAGAAAACAAGAGGCTTGGATCAGGTATACTATTGATGGGTATTGGTTTGATGTACCGTTGTTTGGATGCAAGTGTGAGTGTCGGGTCAGGTTGCCTCACATGAATTTTTACATGCACAGGTTGGACCCGAAGCGGCGAGACTCTGGGTACTGGGAGGACTTCGAGAATCTCAAGCAGGAGCTCATGTCCGTCGTTTCTGGAGACCCTGCCTCGCAATCAGAGCATGACAGCTTGCAGGATGCTGCTAGCTTGGCAGCCAATGCCGGGGAAGAAGGCACCCTGCCCCAAAACGCCTTGGACGGTAATCCTTTTTTGGCCCACAACCTTCATCCAAATTCTGTCCTTCCTTGTCCGCTTTGATTGCCAAATCTTATAGCCCCGTACAGTGTCCCAGTGCCTGAGCTGGCCGATCTCTGCATGCAGACGACGGGCCAAGGGAGTCTGACAGAAAGGGGGAGCCGGATGAAGCTGCTGCGCAGCTGCCGGGCATGCCCACCATCCAGGACCTGCAGCGCAGCGGCCACAACAGCCTGATTAAGGCCATCAACCATTGGGGCGGCCGAAGTGCTGTCGCGCGGCGGCTCGGCCTCGCCTGCTCACCGTACGCCACTCCCTGAGTGGAGGCTATTCTCTCATACATCCAGTTCAAGAGGATGTGGTCAGCCAGACTGGGACTCACGCATGGGCTGGACGCTATTGAATGGGATCAGTGAGGATTTTGAACATGCTAATGCAACGGTCTAGTCCAAATAGCGCTTAGACAGGCGGTGATTGGTGATTTCTTCTATGTTTGCATTACCTGAAGGTGCCGTGTCCCAAGACATTTTGCTACTGGCACAGCTGCACACCCCTGAATGAAACATCAATGGAGTTCAGGCCCTGGGACTGCCCACCTATATCTAAAGGGCCTAGCTTTTAGTGCGAATGTTTGCCACATAGGACGCGGCGGCTGATGACGCTGGGGGACCTGAGCCTGGAGCTGGAGAAGGCGGTGCCATTTGTGCTGCAGTTTGGCGTCATGCCCAGCCGCACGCAGCTGCTGGAAGCTGGACGGCCCGACCTCCTGCAGGCCGTCAAGGTGGGAAATGGTATTACTGATCAATTGTATCACTTGTATCTTAGAAGTCCTCACATGCAAGTCTTGCTGAACCGTTCAAGACAAGTCTCAATCGGCAATTGTTACATGACTAGATTATCTGTTATTTTCTTTGCTACAAGTGCAGTTAAGAGAACCCTAGTGTGAGGCCCCGTTGCGCATATTGTGCCATGTGAATCTAGCACATTGCCTCGGGGCAGGAACGCTGAGTAATAACAACAGATATTTGGCACCAATCTTGCGCAGAGAGCTGACAAAATAAATCCTGCTTTGCTGCAGCGCATGGGCGGGTTCAAGCGGGTGGCAGCCGCGCTGGAGTTGGCGTTTCTGCCGGCGCGACGCGGCCGCTCGGCCGCCGGGGCCTGGTCGCCCGGCGATGTCCAGTCACCACTAGCGCTCGTGCAGTTCGGGTCCAGTCAGCACCCCGTCAGCATCTCGGAGGCCCCCCTCCCGGTTCCCCCGGGGTCCCCCCTGCCGGGCTGCCAGGACAGGAACGCAAGCGGAGACGGGGATGCGGCGGCCGGGCCGGAGAGGGAACGCCGTGCGGCGCGACTGGAAGCCGAGCGGGAAGTCAGGTCTGGGGGCGGCTCGGATTCGCTCGGGACGGAAGTGTCCAACGAGCAGCTGCTGCATAGGACTGCGCTGCGGGCCCGGCGCGGCAGGGCAGCGATGATGCAGGCAACTCCGCGGCGGAATGTTGCGCTTGGAATCGGAAGCAGGTGGAATGAGGGAGGAAGGGGAGCATCTGCAACGAGCGTGTCGCCGATCCCAACCGGCCGACCGCCTTCCACCATCGGCATGCGCACCGGCAGCGGCGCTGCCGGCCTGGGTGAGATTCCTTGCTTTCATGGAGTGCATGCTTTGCATGCCTTGCACATGCCCTGGAGAGCCGTGTCCAGTCATCGAAGCATGTGTCGGTCTGCATGCTGTTCTAGGCACCGAGCTGATTAGAGCAGCCTCTGCTTGATGTTTTGGATTTTGACGATGCGCAGGAGCTGTAGCAGAAATGCAAAAAATCGATGGTTCATTCCGAAAGATGTCGAGTCAAGGGAAGGAAATTGATGGCAATTGGTGGTGTGCAGGGCTGCTGAGAAAGCAGGAGGAGCAGGACAGTGAGGGTGCCATGGTGGCACCGCTGTTGCAGGAAGTGGCTGCAGAGGTTCAGCACTTTGTGGCCACCAGTGGATTCTCGCGCATGCCTACCAGGCTAGAGCTCAAAGTTGCAGGCACGAACCCACACTCTTCTCCGGTCCAATTGCCTCTCTGTGCCAAAGGCAGGCTTTCTCTAATTGGGAGGAGAGAGTTTAGACAGCTTGAGAAACTCTTGAACAGCATCGTCAAGTAATCTGCAAGAGTTCTCTCCGTGGGAAGGTTAAACCTTTCTCATGCTCTTGTGCAACGGGACCATGCAACGGGACCATACTGAGCATGGATGTGGCAATGGGGTCCTTTTGGTCTGACAGTGTATTGTGCTGTGTCATTCACAGGGCGCCCAGATCTGGTAAATGCAGTCACGCGGTGTGGAGGATTCGCGGCAGTGGCACGCTTCCTTGGGCTAGCTTTCAAGGAGACCAGGGGGCGCCCATTGAAATCTTGACACTTGATGATTTGCAGGCAGTAGAGAGGAACCCAAATGATGAATCAGGGAACTTAGGATCTACTACATTGCAATAAACATCGAGGTCTGAATGCGGCACATGCATGTTGAGAGCAAAGAGATACATAGCAAACTCTTACAGAGTTCAAGGACCTTTTGACAGGGAAGGAACACTCCATGTATCTTTGAATTAGTCTTGAATGCGGAAGGAAACCAGCCTGAAAAGGGGCAGAGAGGTGCATTGTCCACCAGCAACCACGTTTGTTGCTGCTTTGTAATTAAAATCTTGGTTGAATGGCTGTATTAAGACTGTTGCCGTTTGATCAAGCCGAGACCAACAGCGTTGCCATCCGGATCCCAGTAACTGTCTGTGCATTGCTGAACCCTACACTAGTTACCGCTGCTAGTACGTCTTTGCACTGGGATTTGTGCTGAGTTTGTGAGGGCTTTTGATGCAGGGCAGAACACACAAACACACAAATGAACAGTGCTGATGGACCATTTCCGTTCTCTGAGCTTGTCCAAGAATACCCGCTTGATGGCTAGTACAGGCTCGGCACTTTGACTGATTTCATACTGACATGGAGCTGCAAAAGAGGACCTCAAGATTGGTCAGTCAGCTGCCGAATGAATATACTAGATGCTCTTGAAAATTTCTGTAAAGCAGATACTTCTTAATCCAGCCCCAGATCAATTCCTCCTGTAGGCTGGTTGCTGGCAGGGAAGACATCAATCTGAGTGTGAAACCTCTTGAATCTTCTCTCGAGCTGAATAAAGATACACAGTTGATCAAACAGCCCATCATAGCACACCAGTTGCGTTTCTAACTGAGGCATCCCATGAAAGTGATCTGTCCGGGCAGAGCGGCCAAGGAAGTGCATCAACCAGCAGGAACATTACGCCTAGCAATAAAAGAACAATCTATATGCACGATTTGCGTTGTGGAGATTGTGAGGAACTTGTGGCCCTGTGGAACACATGACGAAGGCGGCGGCCCGCGACATTCGGCAGCCGCCAGGCGCCAGGCCATGCATGGTTGGCAGCTGCATCATGCAGCCTGCATGCATGTATAGCTCCATCCAGTCTTCGGCTGCAGCGTACGCCGCCCCATCTCTCCGGTCTGCTCAAGGGCGTACAAAGCTGCATTCAAAGCGAGATTCCGCAAAAAGGCTGTTTTGCCTTGGATGATCCAAGTTGGATCCGAACCGGCGACCTCGCCGCTCTTGTCACATCACATGTTGCATGCATTCATTCTCAGATCAACTCGCGCGGAGCATAACAGCAGCCCGATCAAAATGGAAGGGCAGCAAAAGTACAGATCGTCACGTCGGGTTCGCAGGTGGTCACCCAACCCACTACTGGTGACGCCCAAGGCAGCTTTGCTTCCGGGAGCGGACGAGAACGGGCATTTTCAGCCTGGTATGAGCGATCCATGTCAATAGTGTGACTTGCATGCTTATATTTAACCCGTCCAGATCCCCAAGATGCGCCCCTCATGCCCGTTGTAGTGAGTTCATTGGCACAGTATCTCTCCTTAGGAAGTGCTTCATGTGGGATGGCCGCCACCTTGAACCGCGTATTGTGTGTCCTGGCCTGGGCACCGAGTGCCACCCGAACGGTAGCTAGTCAGGCTCCACAGGCACCCATATTCGCATGAAAACTGCTTCCGTAGGGCCAATGCGTGTGCATGCGCATACATGGTGTAGACGTTCAAGGCGATGATCGTCAGCCGCTGTCTACGCTGCCTCCTTCTTGCCGTGCCCGGGCGCCATATGCTTCATGGCGCCTTAAGGGCGACAGGGAGAAAGAAATGCTTGTCCCACTTGTAAAGTGATCAAGCGTGATCAAGACTACAGTGCTCCAGAGAGACTAGAGTATGCCACCGAAGCGCCTACAATTACCTTGGTATGCTGAGGATGTGAAGCTGGTTGTCTTCACAAAGGGCTGTGAAGAAAGTCCTCTTACATACTCCTTCAGGGTACTAAATGTCGCGATTCAATTTAATTTAATTGCTCCAGTTCAATTAAAAAATCTTTTTATCACCAGGATGTGTCCCTACACCCCAGCATCTTGCCCTCGTAGTGTGTGATCCAAATATATCCCTAGTCAGAATATACCAGGGATGCACAAACGGCCATACATGCATTTGTTATTCGCGCTACACAAGGCAAACAAGGTATCATCCTGCCACCATACCCAGACCACCAGACATTCGCAAGACACAGATCAGATCTCAGGACTGTTGCACATCCTCTAAGCTGCAGGGCTCTCGCGCCTTGCGCTTGCGTGCCAGGCTGCGCCTGACGGCCTCCACTCTGGCAGCAGAGCCGATGCTGGTGGGTGGCCCCCACTCCGGCCGGGCCAGGCAGCACACGTGGCCTGCGTCCTTTGGCAAGAACGCCTGCACGCACAAGCAGCTGAATGAGCTCGAATGCCATGGCATGAGTCAGACTGATGGCTGCAGCAGTCCAGCTGTTTGCCTGTCAGATTTTACACTGTTAAGTGCTCCTTCAGTGTAAGCCATTTAAAGGTCAACTTTGGCCACAAGCCTACCAGAACCGTGTCCCGCTCTCACTGCCGCTTTTCATAATTGTAGGTGATCATGCAGCTCTTGCAACATGTTTGTACATGTACAAGATCTCCAGCAAAAGACCCATTCCCTGCACCCCTGGCTCTGCTACCTTCAAAGCTCCCTCCTTCAAGGCCCGCACTGACCGTATGTGCAGGCGAACTCTCCTATATTTGACCTGGTTTTAAATATGTAATTTGAAACGAATGCATACGTGGGCCCAGCCAGGCTCACCAGCTTCCAGACGAGCGAGTAGCGCGGCCGGCCGCCGGCAGCCGCAGAGGGCGCGGAGACGCGATGCAGCACATCCTGGTCCATCAGCACGGCCCTGTAGCGCTTGGGGCGCACCACCAACCCCACGTCCGTCTGCAGGACCACACACAACCTCTCATCTCTCCTTTCTGCTGCATGCACGGGCTACGCGTTCTCTCGGCATCGGCAATGTGTTCTCTGAATGGGCGATATTGCTTTGACGCTTAGCTTGCCAACGGAAATCACCAAGTGCCTCACTGCCTGAAACAGATGCACAGGCTTGACGCCCCTGACTGCCGGTGAACAACGCAGAAATCTTACAATTCTCAACACAAAACTTGCAGGAGTGAACATTCTGCGCCATTCACAGCAGCCAGTAGCATTGTTGTGTATCGGGTACGCAGAGTCATTCGAATGCTTCTGCACCAGGCAGCGCAGTGATGTGGTGTCCCACCTGGGTGTCGAGGAAGAGTGTCTCTGCGGCCCAGTCGCGCGGCCAGGCATCGTCCAGGTACAGCAGCAGGCTCACCAACAGCGGCCGCCCGGGATCCCCGTTCACATAATTCCCAAACGCCTCCGTCCACCTGTTGCAAGTACCAGTACTTTACCTCTCAGCATTGCTGTGATATGCAAGCAGGAAAACTCAATAATGCACTTCACGTGATTTAGGTGCACTATATGCTGCCCAAGGATTGTTTTCCAGAGGGGCAATGCGGTAGCTTTGCAATCAGCGTTCCATCTCCCTGGAGACAATGCAAGTCTCCAGCAGTTTTGAGGTGCCCCATATGTTCCAATGGTGTCTCAAAGTCGCTCCAAGATGCTGATGAAGCAGGTTACACATTCTCACCATGTCATTTAGATACTGTCCACTGAAGGAGGCACACCTGCTGTCTGGAAAGCTTGTCGGATCAGCGTCCACATGCCAGGTGTACTGGTCCCCCGCAACAGCCGCATTCCCCACAAACGGCGCGCAAAAGACGGCGGGTTCTTGCTCCTGGCACTCCCCACCTCCACCATTTGCGATATTTCCTGTACCCGGCTCCGACACTGCCACCTGCCATGCTGTGCAATTACCCTCTGCATGGCTGCTCCCTGTTGCTTTTGATGCTGGCTCGTCTGCACTGCTGCCTTGCGCATGGCTAAGCCCAGCAGCAGCCTCCTCAACTGCAGGCTGCTCTGCTGAGGCGCAGGCGCTCTCTCGAGGCACGTCGCCCGGCACCGACGGGTCAGGAGCTGCATTCGCGCTCTGGCATGCGCCGGCGCATGCGCGCATGCCGGCGGCAGGTGCATGCATGTGCTCGGCGGGCATGTGCGCGATGTCGGCCTCGGGGTACAGCAGCGCCAGCCGCGTGTGGATTGCGCACATGGCCGGCGTCGGGTCACTAACCAGCTGCCCCAGAACGCCGTCGCGCAGGCCCCACGTCTTGGCCGCCCCCGCGCCGTCCGCCGTCTCCCTCTCCCACTTGGCCGCCGGCGGCCCCTGCAAAAAGTGCATTCATTCATTAATGCATGGAATCTGGTAGTCCCTGGCGGCAACATCAGGAGATGCATAAGGCTTCAGCAGCCTGACACAAAATGCATTATTATGTCACCATGTACTTGCCGTGTGCTTTCTCCCGACACGTTCCTCTCTGGCCTGTCACGGCTTGTGAAAAAAAGGGCCTGCGAAGGAAGGCATGGGATGTACAAAGGATGTTAAAGCTGAAATTACAACAAATCTAAGGGGATTTTAAGGGAACGGAGGAGTGAGCGATGACCTGCAAGTGGTCCCAGCCAGGAGCTGTCAGCAGGTCCAGCAGGTCCCGGCGCTCAGCCTCGCCAAAGAAGCCGTCCAGCACGACCACATGCGCATAGTCCAGCCGCATGCCTGCACGTATTGACCCCACATTTGCTAATACGCTCCCCTCAATTCCCTGAACTACCAGTATTTAGAATCCCATTGGAGAGTGCTTTCAGGGCGCAACTTACAAACCCAAAGATTACCCATCAAGGAATAAATGTTCAGCGATGATGATCTAGGGTGCATTCATGAGCAGGAGGACTGGGCAGCTCTTAGACTGTGGAAAAGACTTGCGCTCACCGTCGGGGGATGTTGGAGAGGGGACCAAGCGGGCGTCCACGCGTGCATTCACCGTCGGCTGGAGGCCGTCTGGGGACCAGTCAGTGCCGGCCGTCTCCAGCAGCCTGAACGGCACGCCTGCCTCGCCTGCATCAGCAGCAACCCCATCACAGTTCAAGAACCTGGAGGCAGATCTTTTCAGTTTGCTGCGTGCTCAGCTTCATTTTATGAGGTCACTAATTCAGAGCCACCAGAGATAAAGAGCGTCTGTGGCGCGGGCAGAGTGACTGCTAGCAAGATGGCCATTTCTGGCGCTTGTTGCCAGGAGTCCTCCTACAAAGTGTAAAATATCAGAACTATACGCACCAGGTTCGAAATGTTGGTTAACTGTCGGATCATGCGCCTGTTCTGCGCAGCGCTCAGAGCACATGGCGGCTACTTCTGGTTGGGGGTGCGGTACTGCTTCATGCGTCTCTCCTTGACAGTAGACAGCAGCCGGTCCATGAGGGAGCCCTCCTTCAGCTTCCGTGACTCCTGCAGGCAAGCACTGCAAATTCAAGTGATGCAATCTGGTGCCTGCCCAATGGCATGTTCGCATGGCATGCTTCCTCCCTCAGGTGCCATTATGCGCAAAAGCCGACAAGCTGCGCAAACTGCAGCTTAACAATTGCAAGGCAGGAAGCAGCAATCGCGCAGCCGCAGGATATCATCCACAATGGGATGGACCATAGCAGATGATTGGATGAGCCGACTTCACGCACCCTGTATGCTGCAATCTTCTTGGGCATGTCTGCTAGGTTCTCCGCAATTTTTGCCTCCCTGGGGCAGCATAGAATGGATGTGAGCTCAATACCCTGACCAGCCTTTCATATAGAGAACTCAGGCACACTGTATGTAGACCAGTAATACACGGGAGGTGGAATTTCGTGGAGACTGACAGTGACCCAAATGGGCCGGCCTGATAAGGATCGTTATTGTGACGAAGACAGCCACCTGATAGCACTCTCCTTCTCGTGCTTGTGTCCTTTCAGCGCTTTGTACTGCCCAAATCCCCTTCTGTTGGGCTTCTTCTCCTCCTCAGGATACGGCCACTCCCTATGTGCACAGGAAAACGTCATTGCACATCGATCCAATTTGCATAACACCCTTCCTTGGACGGTAACAAGTTTTGAAGCTAGATAATATCCAGAATAAGGCCCTTAAGCATTCTCACCTCCCCTCAAACAGTGCAGCTTTCTTGAGATCTGCTGCTTGCCTAGCTGACACTTTGGGCTTGTGCCAGAGTCCGTTGACTAGACGTGGTTTCAAGGCCGCCTCACCAAACTTTTTCAGCGCGCTGGCCATGCGCAGGCCTTTCCCAGCTCACTCCTTTCAACTTGTTGATCGTGAACTATTCTTAAGCAGAATCTAGTCGAGCACAATTTGATTGTCAAATCGATGAAATGGGTATCGATCAGGCAATGCCTTGCAAAGTTGCAGGATGCCAAGACTATCCAACGACTTGCTCAAGCCTCGCCCAAAGGCATCCTCTCATGGACTGCTCCGTAGACATGAGTCCTAATTTGGAGACATCCTCTCGAGATTGGACCCCGATCCGTAGATCTGTTCTGCAGATAGAAACGCAATATCTTGGTTGCAACTTGTACATTTGCTGCAAAGACGTCAAAATGTATTCCAACAGCATGTATAGTCCCACTGGGACAAAGGGATGTTCCCATGACAAATGCGGAATGAGAGCTTTACCCAACAAAACGTTGAAGTTTACTAGCCGATGGCGTTCAGCTTCAGCCTTGCAGCAGCGGACCCGACAACGGTCAGCCACTCAACCTCTCAGCAGGAGAAGCATGGCTGTATCAGCTGTGTCGACAGTAGTTGATCGCCCAGCCGCATTTTCAGGTGAACAAACTTGACAATCTGCATCTGGACATGACTCCGATTACCCTGTTGTGATCTCAGGAACCTATAAACTTACCATTATTACTTATGAAATATTTTTCATGCTTGCCTGCAGGCAATGTTGCCGAGTATGAGGGAGGCTTGCAAGATGTCGTGGTGGTTGGAGCGGGGATCTCTGGCCTCACAACGGCTCAAGCCCTGGTCTCAGAGCACGCAGGAGCAGTGAAGAGGTGATTTGTCCGCTCGGAACCCACCATTTCGCCCAAATGACTTTCGAGCAGTCATGACATTGATGACTCATACCTTCTCAGCTTCAGATGGGACAAGCTTGGCTTTTCGAGACTTGTTAGATCGTTTGAGCAGAAGTGATCTTCATAATGACAAATTTTGGTTGTGTGCCTGCAGCTTCCTGGTGACAGAGGGCAGGGAGCGGGTGGGAGGGAACATCACCTCGGTGTCTGGGAATGGGTACCTGTGGGAGGAGGGCCCCAGCAGCTTCCAGCCCAACGACTCCATGCTCAAGGCCGCAGTGCGCCCCATTTCCTTCATGCACCTCACTGCGCTCTCAGAGGCTGTCTCTTGTCATGATCAGCCCCCTCCTGCACCACTCCTGGACGACAGCCGAACCTGCGGTAGAGATTTCTGCCAATAACAGGTGCATGTGCTGTGTGCGCAGGTGGATGCGGGCATTGGCAAGGATCTGGTGTTTGGAGACCCCAAGGCACCTCGCTTTGTGTGGTGGAACAAGAAGCTCCGGCCGACGCCAAGCGGCCCGGACGTGCTCACATTTGACCTTCTGTCCATCTGGGGCAAGATCCGTGCCGGCCTCGGTGCCGCCGGCTTCAAAAAGGCGCTGCCAGGTGATTCAAATGGCCTTTCCTGCTCAATTGCCTCTTGGATATTCGTGAGGCAGTCACTTAGGCAGTAGTGTGCATCTTCAGCCCTGCGGGGCATGAGGTTTCGTTGCACAGGACCCTGAAATCCCTTGATGACCAGCTCAGACCACAACAATGCTCTTTATGCGTTCAGTGCCTACCCCAGTACATGCATTTGAACATGCGTGGAGCTGAGGTGTGTGCATTGCATGGGCAGAGTTTGAGGAGACAGTGGAGCAGTACGTGAGGAGGAATCTTGGGGATGAGGTGTTCGAGCGGCTCATAGAGCCCTTCTGCTCGGGCGTCTATGCTGGCGACCCCACCAAGCTCTCCATGAAGGCGGCCTTTGGCAAGGTACGCATCCCTGCAACCAGGAAAGATGTCCGCATGCTGCCATCTGGCGTATGGAAAGAGTGTTGCAGAGAAGTGCATGCAATGCAACGGCTGTCATGCAACTCACCCTTGTCTTTCCTGCAAGCCCAGCCAGGCCTTGCTTCTTCTGTGCACAGAATACTGATCCAGCAGGCTCCAGTCATCGGCCTGAAGAGGCTGGTTCAAGTGCAAGTGACTCTTTCATGCTGGCTGTGCAGCCCAACTGCCCTTGTGCATGTACAGCAACAACGCACCCTGACAGCTGCTGGCTGACAGTTGCTGGCAAACCGCTGGTGTATTTTTTGCAGAGAAACAAGTGTTAGGAATGTGCTCTTGTACATTGACAGCGAGCAGCGCACCCTGACATTAGCCGGCACTGTGCAGGTGTACGACCTGGAGAAGAAGGGCGGGAGCATCATCGGGGGAGTTCTGGCGCTGATGCAGGAGAAGAAGGCCAACCCGCCGCCGCCGCGCGACGAGCGGCTGCCGCCCAAGCCGGCCGGCCAGACCGTGGGCTCCTTCCGCACCGGCCTCACCATGCTCCCCGAGGCCATCGCCGCCAACATGACAGACAAAATCAAGTGAGTGCTCTCACCTGCAAGACATAGTTTTAGCAAGGGAACAGGAACCTCTCATAAATGATCTGACACATGTCACGCGGAGCTTCCCTTTGGCCATTTTTCATTTGTCTGTTCTTGAATGTAGTGCAGGAGATATTAAGAGTCCGCTGTCTGCACATATGCTGTTATGCCCCGAGAGGTTTATCCCGACATGGAAATCGGCAACATTGTTGCATGCACGATATTGTACTTCCTGACAGGATTTGATGGTTGGTGCAGGCTGAGCTGGCAGCTGCAGGAGATTGAGAAGGCGCAGGACGGCACATACAACCTCTTCTACCAGACACCAGAGGGCGGCAGAAAGGTTCGCCTCACCTGATATCTGCATTTGCAGCGGCTGCACAGAGATTCAAAGACTCTACCTGCATCATCTAATGGGCAAGGTGGCTCGTTTGTGGAAACAAACAGACAAGTGTGCATTAATTCTGGTCCAACAGGAATGTTTGCTCCATTGCGCAGATGAAGCAGGTATTTAATTTTGCATCTCAAATTTGATCAACGGTTGACTGGACGCTGACAGGTGCGCACGCGGTCAGTGGCGCTGACGGTGCCGGCCTACGTGGCAGCGGACCTGATCAGGCGCGACTGCCCAGACGCGTCCTTGGCCCTGAAATCCCTGGATTATCCCCCCGTGGCTGCTGTCACCCTCGCCTACCCCAAGTCCTCCATCCGCCAGGACCGCCTCGACGATGCCAGGAACCTTCCAGGTAGCTGCCTGCCCCTACATCCGGGGTTAAGAATCAGGCACATTGCCTGGCGTGCTCCAGGGCCAGAGTTTCCCGAGGTTATATATTTGCATGCCAGCGCTCAGATGTTGCCATCTTTTTGGGTGCAGATTGCAGGAGCAGCTGTTCATCAAAAACATACGTGCAGCTGAGCGCACATGTATCTGTCTGTGTGTGGTAAAAATCATGCATGCATTAGATCACCCTCAAGAAGTCAGCAAAGGATAGAAGTCCACACAAGCCACGGAATGATTGGGAAGCGGACGCAGGAATCATGAGACGCATATTAGCAGCGAATCAGGCTGGGGATTGGAGGGAGACTTCTGGTGCACCAGTGTTGCAGGACACGGACACACAACTAGCATGTACACCATTTAATTTCCCCCTTGTTCTGGGCGCAGGGTTCGGGCAGCTGCACCCGCGCAGCCAGGGCATCACAACGCTGGGCACCATCTACAGCAGCAGCCTCTTCCCCGGCCGCGCCCCGGAGGGTTACCAGCAGCTGCTGTGCTACATCGGGGGCGCCCTCAACCGCTCCATCGTGTCTCAGGGCGACGACGCCATCTTCGCGCAGGTGAAATCCCGATGTGCTGTTGTTTAGTAATCCACAGGACCCCTGAAAATGTGATGTGTGAAGATGACTTTTGGATGAGCCCTGGAGCTGGATGTCTCTAGTGAGGCATCGAGCTGGAAGACATCTGCTGACTGTCTCTAAGGATTTCATAGGCAGGCTGATGAGGTTCGAGTGGTTCAGAGTGCAGATTAAAACCCTTCAAACCCCAGTCAGCAGCTGTCTTCATGAAAGGTCTGCCAACGATGAGGAAATTTCTAGGCGGATAAAAATTCACGTACTCCAAAGATAAATGTCAATTTTGCTCAGGAGTGCGCATGTGCTGCAGGTGGACAAGGATTTGAGGGAGATGCTGATACAGCCGAACGCGCCGGCGCCGCAGAGGATCGGCATCCGCGTGTGGCCCAAGGCCATCCCCCAATTCAACCTGGGACACCTCGATGTCGTCCAGGTGTGCTTGCACTGTCTCTTTCTGCATGTCCCTCCTAGACGCACGCTTCCTTTGGCTCAAAATATATTAAACGCTATCTAAAGGAGTCTAGGGAGGGGACAGAGGCTCTAAAACAGCCTAGAGCATGCTCTCAGATTATGCTCACGAAGCCACCTGCATGCAGCACATATCGGATACATTTTGGCAGAGGAATTAGTGGTCACGAGGAGTATTAGGATCAAGCGCTTATCATTAGTGATGCATGCACACTCCTGCAGGGCCTTGTTTAGTGAGCGCCCACAATGGCCCATGTGTGCTACTTAGTTTGTTACTGGTGGCTGCAGGGCGCAAAGGAGGACCTGCAGGCAGCTGGGCTGGGAGGCATTCTGCTGGGGGGCAACTATGTGGCTGGTGTGGCTCTGGGCAAGTGTGTGGAGTACGGCTATGAGTATGCCAAGGAGATCTCCAAGTACCTGTCAGCACAGGAGCCTGTCGCTGCCACCAATACAGAGGGCGACGCCTTCTTTGTTTGATATAAATTTGAAATTGACTTTGTTGGCATATCAGTGCCGAAAGTTTGGGCGTTATGGGGACTCTGTCTGAGAGAGCAGTAAGGCTTTCCCCAAAAACTTCTTGCTTTTTGAGACGTGGCTTTGCAGGCAGTGTTGTGTTCGTTGCAGCAGGGAGAGCCAAGTGCTCCTGATGCAAATTGAATTGTTTTGTTTCCGAGCTGCTGGGCAAGGGCCGACATGCATCAGGCAAGCTGTGTTGGTTTTGAAGTACCTCTGCCTATCATTGTGCCACCGGTGCCTATGATGCTTAAAGCATGTTTGTTGATCATTGATTGATCAAATGTACGAATTTTGCATCTGGATGCACGTGAGGTTGCAGTGCAGTCCAAGTGCGAACGGATGACTGTTACAGAGACCTGTTCAATCAGTATTTTACCACATGGACACATTGCAGGCTATCCGCGGCATAGCAATTCCACTTGTCGACGCAATGCAACTCTGCCAACACACCAAAGTGATCCCCATACCACTGCAACAAGCAAATGCTTGTCACACAAGCGTAGACTTATGCCACCCCGCACTGCATTGTTATTGAAGTCTGAGCGGGAAGCTCAAAGAAATACTACTAAGGCTGGGCAGGCCCAAAAGCTTCCAAGGTGCGCGTGGCAAGTGCTAGCAGATCATAGAACGTCCCCACTGCCGCTCTCAGCGTCCGGGCATCCGCTGCTGAAAAGAATCTGCACAGCGCAGAACTGTTGTTGATGGCCAGACCGCGGGGCCAAATCCACTCGACGGCCACATGTGCCATACAAATATGAACAGAACAAAGTGCACATAACCTAAATTAACTCAAGACGAGCAGCAGCAGTGACTGTGCGCACATGTGCAGTGTGCTCCCATCCACTGTCAACTCCCGTGTGACCAATTTCGGCCGCAGCTGCATTGCATGGCAAATACCTGGTAAGCATTCAGGCAGTAACTTTTTTTGCACTGGTGCGGTGCTATACAGCGCAAAATTTACTTGTAGCAATCCATCAGAGGAGTACTACAGGTGCTTAGTTTGCTGAAGTATCTGGTGCACACCTCCGGATCAACAGCCAACGCATCTCTCACCACGTGTGCATCTGCTTCTGAGCTGTACACATGCGAGGCCCGGCTGCAAAGGAGAAGAAGCGTAAATAGCCGTCATCTCTTGTGAAGAGTTTGCAGAGCAGTGCATTCGAGCATACATCAGTTGAAGGGAGCGGGTTGAAAAGCAGCAGTGGTGAGGAACAGCAAGGGCATACAATTCGTAGGGCTGTGGTTGTGCATCAGGGGCGCTCGTTGAAGCTCCTTGTGATCTTTCGCTCAAAGCAGGGGCCTCAGCCTGCTTTACCTGCTCGCTGACCTGTGATCTCTCAGGTGCAGCTGCGCATGGCAGACGACATGAGAATTCAGTGGAACCGACGATTCTGATATGAAATCAATAGACATTGATTTATTGTCAGATCTGCCATTGGATGTGTCACAAGTGCTCATGCTGGACCACTGCAGCAGTTTCTCACCTGTCAGAGTCTCCATTTCGACTGAACAAAATAGGTAATTCCACCCAACCAATCTGGAAGTTATGGAAGGATGGCGAGTTCAAGCAACGTACAGCGGAGAAGGACCGATCTTGCCGGTATCCACAGCAGACTCAGGCTTGGTCTGATCAACTCCGGAATGGCGGTTCCGGAGTTCCAGGTCAGCAATGGAGAAGCTTCTCAACGCATGGGTTCGATCGTCACACCATTTGCAGGAAAGATAGCACAACTGATTGTCGTGTGTCCCTAGAGATTTACTGGAAGATCTGTGCCGGTCACGAGAGCTCAGCGTTGGCCTTCAGAATAACAACTACCCTGTTGACATCAGCAGAGCAACTTTATATTCGCATATTGCTACCACCATACAAACATCAGCTCTTATTTTCCAAGAAGATAGTAAACACATCGCAAGTTATTGGAGAAGTGAAACCTTGGAACATTAATCGCAATCAACGTTTATATATTTGTATTCTGCTGGACCTAGAGAAGCCAGGGATGGCAAACAGCGGAAGGCGATTTGGACAAAATGGAGGCAGCACAAAGCGAAAAGTCATTGTCAGCGGAGGTACGAGCCTGCGGCAGTTCTCTTGTCCTGCAGATTTTGCGAGGAACGTTTGAAATTTTGCAGGCGGACCTGGTTTGGGTTAATAATCATCCCATTGTGTACTGTGCATATTACATTTCCATCATCTGGGTCACAGCAGAGTGCATCCAGAGGCTGACGATCTGTTTGCGTGGGCGCAGTCCCTACAAAGGAGTTCAACAACAGGAAGGTAGTGGTGTCAACAAAAGACCTGACGCTGGATGCCAGATTCACAATAGCCTCACAGCTGCGACAGCAGACAGCCAGCAGGCAGAGCCATGGGCGGGATAAGCTGTTGGCGCAGAAGAGGGGTGTGGCCTCAGCCGAGAAGCCATCAAAGCGGCAGGTATGCCCCAACATCGCCTGTTGCAGCTCAAGATTCTTCCTGGCACCTGAAATGGGGTTATAAGCAGATTTTGCCGAGCATTGCTGCGCATGTTCCTGCCTCAGACCCCATCTTGCATGCCTAAGTTTCTTGCTGACTCGATGCAGACTAGAAATAGCGCCGTACATGTGTCACCGGCAGTTGATTGTTGTCTCCTGCTTTTTCAGAGCTTTTAATGTGCTTGCTGGCTCTGGTTCTCATATCAGTGGCTGGCACAGGTGCAGGCAGAAGGTGAGAGCCAAAAAGGAGGCAGGAAGGGACGCAGCAAAAAGGCCAGGACTATTTTGGGGGGAGTGCGTGTGCGGCCCACTGCAGTGCCAGTACCGCCCAAGAGCAAGAGTGGGTTCGATCAGCCCTATTCAAATGACAGCTAATTCCCCTTGAGAAGACCGCTAGCTGCAAGCGCCAGGTCCTGTGTGCAACAGGATATGCTGGTTCTCAAGTTGTGTAAGTATGTAAGCATGTCCTGATTTTGCAGTCAATGGCAGCTCTTGGCTAAGTGGGACCCCCTTGCTTGCAGGCAAAAGGCGCAAACGAGGCGGGAAAAAGAGCAGCAGCAAGATGCAGGAATGACACTGCAACCTAAATTCAATCTTGTGGAGGCCTCTCCTGATATCTCAGTGTCTTGTTAGAAGATGCGGCCAGCATGGCGGTGAACATTTGGAGAGTGGCGCCAAAACAGAAACAGCCAACTAAGAAGGTATTGCAGTCTGTGAATATTTATTGACTTCGTTTCAACACTAAGGGTCTACAGGCTGTAGCGCCGACGCATGGTGCAGTGGTTGGGTGTGCAAGGAAAGGTGCTAGCAGTAGCACATGGTGGGCCAACTTGGACATTGAACCCTTGGCGCCCTAAAGACTTGAATGGGACAATGGGAAATGGTGGAGAGTGATTTGCCAACTTGAACTCTTGTGCTACAGTGATCCCAGCCTCCTCTTGCATGTCTTTATTTCATTCCTATCCTCTTGAGTGAGGATGTGACTGTGTGCACGCCAACACAGAACATGGCATCAACCATATGCTTGGCCCAACTGGCGACATCATGATGTTCATGCCGTTTGGATTATTGAAGCTTCTGCAGTGCCTTTTATGGAGCGTATTTTTTGCGTGAATTGCAATCCCGGATTGGGCCAGTTAGGACCACTACCGCTTCAACATGAGTGCAAGTCTGCCAGATCTGAGGAGTTCCTCTAGAGGAGCTGCCTGTATTACAATACTGAAACAGAGGCTGCAGCACTGGTATGTGCTGCGCGCCCGGGGCCTACGGCTCGTGATCAAGACCGCGTGACGACGGTCGACGGGGTGACCATTGGCATGCCAGAGCAAACTTGCATGCATCATTGCTGCAAGGGACAATCAGACCCCAGCCAGCATGCAATCGGCAACAATTCAACACAAGTTGGGTGAAGAAAAAGAAGAAGAAAAAAATTACACATCTTTCTAGATGAGAGCTCGGAGATCCAGGTGCCGCATTCCTGGCCTAAAAGTGCATGCAAAAGGATGGGGGCCGTGTCACCTTCAACCGGGAGTCAGTCACATGGGAGCAGGGGCGCTCCTTGGGCCAAATTGTCCCGCCAATACTTGTGGAAAAGCTATCAGCACTGGCACTTCGGATAGACAAGAAAACTTCAGCGCATCCTCTTTAAAGCGACCTGGCCTTGTCGTACAAGTATTCTTGACGTGACGGTCGACAGCCCAGAGTTCGCGGATCAGCCTTTTTGCGCCGTTAAGGTGTGGGCCCCTTCCTGTGGGCATGGCCGGAATCTGCAGCCAACTTGTCGATACAGAATACGATGTGCATAGGCGTTCTCAGCGAAGAGCAGCTATATCTGTGCGCGCTGCTTTCTGGGTTTTGGATCTGCACGCATTGGAATTCCGCCCATGGCCCGCAGCACCCCTTCACGGCGACAAATGTTCGTGTTGTGAAGTAATGTGAATCACTTTTACTGTTGACTTTTATTGTATCGGCCACATCCGTGCATCCTACGAGTCCAGCCTGTGGCTGGAACAGCACGAGCCATCTTCTGAACTAGGTTTTTCCAAAGTTCACAGTCGTACATGCTATCTGGTCTTCAATGCTAGTAAGAAAAATAAAAATGCGATACATCTGAAATCAGGCACTTTTTCAATGCCAACGGCGCCATGTTCAGCGTCAGAAATCGCGAGAACTACTGTTGGTGATCTGCAGTCCACAGCCTAAAATATGTAGCACGCTATGCAGGCAATCTTTCAAAACTGTGGTTCAATGTCCTCTGTGCTCGCAGGCTGCCTGCTGATCATCAAGTAGGCAGTACAGCTGCCCTACTCTTGTTGGGCCTGCAGCTGCCTCCCAAGACAGTGAGGGGAGGCCTGTGAGCTGACTGCTGTGTAAGAACAAGGCGAGACATAAAGATGAGGTCGGCCTTGATAGGCTCAATGGTTTTGGCACTTGTGGCCAGTGCAGCCGCCGAGTTTAGCTATGAATCTCTCACCAATCAGGACTACCTTCAATATGGAGAGGTAAGTCCCTCTCAGATCACCCATGAGTGCTCCAATGATAGGCTTCTTGACTCCAACGCACTGCACTGCACTCAACAAGATGCGTGTCAAGGTTTCCTGTCATTGCACGCCACAGACTTGCCCACAGATGGAGTGCAACGGCAGTCAATTACCCACACTATTAATAGAAGTGTTTCCCACCATGGGAATACAAGTTCCGAATATCTGCATCATGCAGCGGGGTTCACCTTGCAACGCTGTGTTGCACTCACAACCTTCCTTAAAGGAAGTCACCACCATACTTCGTGCCTTTGCAGGGCACGTTCTATGGACATCAGCAGGACCAGGATGCGCAGGGGGCCTGCAGCTATTCAGAGAACTACGCAAATGCAATGCATCTGCCCTGGGCGGCAGGCGCTGCCGTCACTCTAGCCCTCAACCGAGACCACTTTGACGACAGCCGCGGATGCGGCCTCTGCATTATGTACCGGGGTGCGTGGCTCCTTTTCTCTCTGTTTCTTTCTCTTAATGTCTTTGATGTGACTTCTTGGATGTCACACATGCATGGCCGACAGCCTGATGGCGTTTCCACAAGCTGACCTCAAATTGCTCCAGGCTCAATGATATCACTTACAATCTCCTTAGCTGTGCAAGTAGACATGGTCCACACGTAGTGAATGGCTTAATCAGATGTAAATCTCTGCTCTCAATCAATGTATATGCTGCCTCTGCTCCTGCAGCTCAACTTGGAGTTAGGGCAGGCCATATCTTAATCTACTCACATTGGCATGCAGCTTCCTAGTATTGGGCCGAAAAAATAAGCCGAGTTCTGTCCTGAACACCTCGTCCTGTTTGCAAATGCTCAGGCATTGGCGGCGGCATTGGAGTGACACCAGTCAGCACAACGAACTGGTTCATGGGCATTGTCAATAACATCTGCCCCGAGTGCAGCCGCGGCGATCTGGACCAGAACATCGACGGAGATGGGCGCTGGAAGATTGAGTGGTGAGACTCAGCTCATGCGATTGAGACTCTATCCAAGAAAAAAGTTCTAATGTTACAGGCTTTCCTGGCCAAGAGGTAAGGTGCTTCGTCAGCCGAGCTGCAGTTGGAGGGTGCATGGAATCCCACCCCTTGTTGGACCAGCCGAATCCAAGCAAGACCCAGTCGATTGTGGGCACGGAGTATTTGTATTGCTCCCCCCGCCAGCCGTGGCCAAGGCATTGAGACTATGTTTGAGGGAAAGTAGGATGCTGCAAGTTAATGAGAAGGGCCACTGCAGGGAGTTTGCCAGGCTTTCAGAAGTACTGCCAGACAATTGCCTGGTCAGCTCACCACCATTAAAAGCAAGTGCATGGCAGTGAAACGGACAGGATTTCTTAATGAGGGAGCAGATCTGATCTATGCATGGGATGCTGTCAATAACACTCGCTTGCTGCATGCAGGTATGCTGTGCCATGCAATGTGGGCGACACTAAGATGCGCTATGACTTGGTGGTGAAGACTTACTACTGGATCGCCATTGTGATCTCCAACACAAGGTGACTTTATGACACAACTCTTTGGAATGCTCAGACCGTTCACCAGTACAGATACATATATTGTTTGCACACCACCTGGCCTCGCTTGGCAGGGACAGCGTGAACCAAAACTACTCTGAGTAATATTGGTCTGCTTATTTTTTGAGGGTAATAACGGATTGGTCTGCAGCTGTGGGGGCTGTTGCAGCCAGATTGATTTTGCCTGTATGGAAAAGCGCTGTTCCTGCACCCATCCCTTCAAATGATCGTGATGACGCTAGATTTGAGAAAAAATGTGGTGACCCATTTGCGCAGGATTCCAGTGAGGTCAGTCTCGGCAAAGATCAACGGGCAGTGGTTTGCTCTGATGCGATCTGTCACCAACCAGTGGCAATACCACAGGGTGAGATTACTCGCGCGCTGATCAATATATGCATTTCACTGACTTTGCAAGCTGCAAGAATTTTAATGAGCGCTTTTCTTTGAGATGTTACTGCAGTCAACATTACGCAAAGCCAAAGTGCTGACTGGTCTTCTTCTGCTGCTCTTGCAGGAGGTTGGTGACTGGGCAGGGTGCGTCACAGCTCCTCTCACCTTCTTCTGATAGTTTATTTTGGAGAAATGCACCTTCTGCTACTTCTGCAGTGGCACGAGTCTGTAATTCGCAATCTTGTTAGCAGACCAGTCTCGTCCTTTCAATAAATTTAATTTCAAGGTCTAAATGATGTGGTTTTAACACAGGAGCTTCCCAATGCCGATCCGGATCACATCGACCATGAATGAAACCGTGGAGGATGTCATTCAATGTGAGGGCCACGCAATTTTACCAGTGCTTACATTGCTTCCTTTTTACTCTGTCAGAGATTACAGGCTGTATTTGAGCATCACCTTGCATCATATCGCTTGTCACATTATGCTGCATCTGTAAATATCAGCTCTCGGGTAATCCCAATATGCCTCACCTTATGTGTTGCGCCGAGCTGAGGCTTTAATCTGTGTGCGAGCAGCGGCGGATGGCAGCACGGGGACGAAGCAGTTCTCAGCAATCCCAGGGCCCTCCTATGTGTCGGCTGGCATCCCCGGCCGTGGCTACCGCCCCAGCAACGCATTCCCCCTGCAAAACCCCGGAGTCGCCATCCCCAACATGGGCCCAGTCAAGGGTGCAAATGCCAATGGTGCGTGTGCATTGATGCTGTGCTAACATTTACTTTTAGCAACTTTCTATCTGCAACGATATTACCGGCATTTGAAAGGGCACCCCAAGTGAGCATCAGTGTTAGTGGCATGTTGCTGCATGTCAGAGACTGCATAGCATGTCTGTACAGGCTTTGTCATCATGGAATGCTGGCTTGGAATGTGCACCCAGAAGTGTCAGTGTTTGGTTCATTGCTGAGAATTCGTCCCATTCAGAAACGTGGGTGCTTGTGCAAACGTTTGACGACCGTTCTTCAGGCAGGAGGGATTTACGGACGGGTGGTTGCTTACAAGTGAGCCTCTGTGCAGCTGTGAGTCTTACTGACAAGATTGTGTGAGTTAGTTTTTGTCTGCAGCACTCATGATGAAATGCAAATACAGGTGTGTCAGGATGGGGTAGCGACAAGCAGGCGGCGCTGAAGCCGCAGATCCCCAAGACTGCGCCCAGCACGACGCACGACGGCGTTGTCTTCCAGGCTGACACAATCTTCATCGATGACAATCAGCAGTGCGGCGGCACAACAGGTCAGTCATGCTCAGCTCATCACAGAAGGAGCAAGCGCCCACTCCATGCATTCACCATGCCTGCTCAGTGGGTAATGCAGCAATTGTGTCTAAGGATTGCATGGCCTCGTGACCAGGACTTTCTGTACTGCAATACTGGAAAAGCGTTCCATTGAGCTTCTTTTAAGCATGTAGATCAGAGCTGTGACAGCGCCGTACAGCGCACTGACTGCCTCCTCTAAGGTTTGGGGATGTACAACGTTTCCCCAGCAGCAAAGGGGACTGAGGTCACGGCTATATCTCAGAATTTCAGGATCATTATTTGAGAGTAATAATATGGGGGATTTCCATGGTAAGTCTCCACCCTATAATAGTATGGGGATTGCGGGTGCAGGCGAGTGCACGGCGCGCGACCGCGGCCAGCCGGTGAAGCCGTGCATCCCAAGCGCATGGCCGCTGGCTGTGTGCTCCAACTCGGGGTCCATCTGTCAATCTGCCAGCGCCACGCAGGAGCGCTTCGAGTGCAAGCCATCCGCGCTCGCCGCCGGCGGTGGCGGCAGCAGCGGTAATGCACCTTCCTTGGCATCTAATGCTGCTGCATTGTGGACTGTGGCGTTTCTTTCAGTCAAAGAACATAGCCCAGATATGTCCTGGTTGCGCACTTTTGAGGCAGAGAATTGTGTGTCGCTGTTTTCTGGGAGTCTTGGGGTGATCTTGCGTTGATTATATGAATGTGGCTTGTAAAAAGCTGACAACTTTCCTTGGCGTGGCAGGCAACTTGACCTCCTCGGCCTCCAGTGGGAGTTTGCCCAGCTCCCCTGGCTCATCATCATCTCCCTCGAGTTCATCTCCCTCAGGGGCATCACCATCATCTCCCTCGGGTTCATCGCCTTCATCACCCTCGAGCCCCTCGAGCTCTGGCGGCAGCAGCCCTGCCAGCAACAATGTGGCTGTGGGCGGCCGCAGGCTCATGCAGATTTAGATTGGAGAGGCAAGAATGGCTAGGGATCTGTGATGTAGTGAATTGGCTGGCATGCGGCACTGGTTGGAGGATGCAATGCATGCGGCTTTCTTGGGGAGAACAGAGTTTGGGACATGCCCAGCTGTTACAGCAAGAGTGCTCTTTCTTGAGGATTGGGGATTCCTTCCAAAGGCACAGTATTTCTGAAGGGCAGGCGGAGTTGACGGTATAGTTGTTGCGGCGTGGGAAGTTTTTGGGACGGTCTTGCCTAGTCCTTGGACTCTCGAACAATGCGCACAGCAGCTCTGATATAGTGTTGGAGTTGCAGATTACTGAGCCAGTTTTCTATTTGAGTTTAGGCAGCTCATATGTTCTCTGAGGGCCACTTAATTCGAATGGCCTTTGGCTTTTGCAATTATCCAGAGGCTGATTGGCGACCCTCGATGGCCCTTACAACTGCTGTGGTGTATGACACAGGGGTTTTCCAAAAGAGTGTGGTCCAAGTGTCACTTTAATTGGCTTCCTCGCACGTCCAGTATCACAGTTCTTGCAAGCACTGGGCGTTTGCAGGGATTGCAGTACTCGTTACAATTTGATTCTTTCCAAGGACATTGCACTTACTTGAAGTATGGAAAAGCTGCAGATAGGAGGTTTTCGTGATTGCCAGGTATTTGAAGGATTGATATGTATTGCATTTTCCATGGCGAGCTTAGGCTTCAGCACGTTCAGCTGTCGCCAAGCACGCGCGGTGCATCTTTGCACGTGCGCAAGCTCTAGGTCCTGCCAACAGCAATACTGCTGACATGTGTACGGTACCGACCGCCATTGACTTGTTCTGGAATTGCTCGGTTTATGGTTATGGAGCTTCAAATTGAGGGAGTTTTTAGGGGACCACATTGAAGCGGGAGCTGCCACAGCTGTCCCATGCTAAGGACTCTCTACTTAACAATCCGACCATTGCTGCCTACATCTTGCAGATTGAACATTCGCCGCTGCGCAGCATGCCAGCAATAATATCACAATTATTGGGCCCCGGCTGGCAGGGGGCGGTATAAACTTTATACCGCCCCCGTATTGAATACTCAGAACCCTGCCCGCGTTTGTTTGGGTCTTGCTCTGGCGAGTCCAACAAGGGATTGGATTGTGGCGGCCTTTCACTGCAGCTTGTCTGCAGGACACCGTGTGGTGACCTTTAGGTGACTTTAGGCAGCAACAGCGTGTAATAATAATAATAATAATAATATCGCTGAATTCCAAATGAGTCATTCTTCCAATATTCACTGCCGCAGTGCGGCACAAAGGCAACTTAGACACTGTCAAGCCCTGTCTGCCTGCCAGGTACTACCCAGTAGGTAGTACCTACTGGGCCCGGGTACCTGTCTAGGTTGCAAGCCTGCAAGTGGGTGTGTTTCTGAGCTGAGCACAGCAAATGGGCTCATTCACATGCGGCTGGTTGCCTTGAGGGCCTTTGATATTTATCCTAGGCCCAAGACAGTCAACGGTTGCCACGGCCGCGGCTGTACACTGTACACTGGCAGTCGCGCAATATGTATAATTTTAAGCGCTGATAGCATGTGCACCTTCAGGTGCACATGCAGGCCCGCCCATGCACACAGATGTGAGTTTATTTTCTTCCATCAGGGATCCATCCATGTTCAGCAATGGCACTTCTGCACTGCTTCCTGCAGACCGGTGAAAGGGCCACATGTGGCATCCACGTCACTCCGGCAGACAACGCCTCATCCAGATGGTGGAAGGCATATTGCATGAATGTGTTGTTCATTCCGCGAATATATAGACAGCTGCTGGTGAGCAACAGCATCTTGCGCAAGGTGTTGGAGGCTGCGATCTATTCATACGTGACACAGGTGCTTGAAAGGCAGGCAGTGCTTCAGCAGAGGTCATGGTGCGGGGGAGTGGCGTGTTGGGTAGGTCTTCTTGTCCCAAGCTGAATTTAGATCCGACATGTGCAGTCTTATATAAATTAATCTACATGATGGCAGGAATGACTTGTGAGGTCTGTAGCCTCCGAGCGGGGCCTGAAACCAACCCTGAGAATCATGGTGGCCTTCGTATTGCTTAGCCAGCTTCACTGGCATTAGAATGACATGTAATGCTATCAGGGGCTCTAGTCGGTGCCGGTGGTGCAACAGCATACTACAACGGAATCGATGTGAGCGGGACTGTGAGATCTCTCTTGACAGGTGGGCAGTTGAGAGACCTACCCAACTGGCAGAGCAGCGGCAGCAACGGCAGGGAATTGGACGCACTTTATAAGTTGGTATGCTACTTCGAGATTGCTCTATGCATTTTGGTGCAGCTTGCACGTGTCCTGAGCAGGATGTGTTTAGTGCTGACAAAGCCAAGTAAGCCTGGAGACATTGCACAGTGAAAGGGGGATGACGCCGTCTGTTTTTAAAATCTGGGAATTTTGTGAGGCGCAAATTTATTGCAAAATCTCAGATCCTGAAATTGGCCATTTACTCTGCAGGTCGAACAGCTATCAAGGGATGTGCACAGACAGCAGGGCGTCACCATATCAATGGCGTCAGGCAGAGGGTAAGCCTCACCTTGTCTGAAGCTCTCTAGCTTCCTGCATGGCATGACTCACACATTCCAAAGCGTTGACCATACAACACATCTGCCCCATTTGCTCACCGTGTCCATCACATCTCTACATAGCATTGCCTCAAAAGCATTGGGCGTGAGTGTGCTGCAGCGCAGTAGCTGGGTTGCCGCCCAGCTGTCGGAATTGTGCTAATGGGTCTGCATGGCTCTGCGCAGGAATGGCGTGGTGGTGCTCTACACTGTGGGGGCAGCAGGCGCGGGGTATGTGTACCTGCGCATATTCAAGGGCTGGCGACTCAGCGACCTCATGTATGTCACGCGCTCGTCCCTCACCAAGAGCATGTCCTCCGTCACAGCAGGTGCGCTGTCTTTGCCTCGGCAGTGCATTTGCTTGGGGATCAATAGTGGAGCATGCACTTGTGCTCGGTGCAGTAGATCCTGACTTTCAGTTCTACAGCCAGCAAGACCTACATGCTTGTCGGCTGCAAGGATTGGAATTCAAGGATTCATCTACAGGGGCATAAGTGTGCGTGTTTTCTTGTGGTCCCGCTTCAATTTGCTTGATTTACTCTTGCCTCTGCGTCTCATGCATGTCTGTTTGGATCAATTCCAGCATTGACAACCACGAGAGGGCATGCGTAGAACTGTGCAGTATGCAGAATCAGCTGAAATGCTTCCTTGATATTGCCAACATTTCTTTGGCCCTTTGTCTTAATATCTCCTGTGCCCTCGTCTGTCGCAGGTGTGGACAGCCTGTCACAGCGGTTGAGCAGCATGCGGACCTTTGTGCAGCAGCAAGTGTCTGCACTCACAAAGAAGCAGGTGCGCTCCTTCTTTGACACTGTGCACCTTGAAGGTATACATAGGTACAAATTCAAGGCATTACCAGGCAGATAGACAGTGCTGAACTGGAATGGGAGAAAACATTAGCATTGCTGTGGTGGCTGACATTGTATTTCGACTGCAGGATGACACCCTGGCGGCGCAAGCAGCCTTGGAAAAGCAGATGAGCGCGGTGGGCGATGACGTGGACGACACTCGCAGCAAAGTTGATGAGGTCAGCATGCTTGTCTGATGTGTGGGACGTTCCTCTGCATTTCATATGAGTGTGTTTGTGCACACATCAAGCAGCGCCGGGCATGTCCGTCAGCGGGTGTCTGAGGAGTTTGGGTGCTCCGCAGGTGCACTCGTCGGTGAGGGACCTGGAAGGCAGCATGGCGCAGCTCAGAGAGCACCAGATGTCAGCCAACACCGGCATCTACCTCCTCTGCAGGTTAGCCATCCGTTGCGGCTAGATGAACATTGCAAACTTCACATATTTTTTGCATTGCCCCTGAGATGATCAAGGGTCTGCTGGGCATTGTGGGCTAGTCACCATAAGTATCTTGGTCACACACGTTCATATTCTCTTATATGACCATGCATGGTTCAGCCTTGAGCGTAGGGTTCTGAGGGGGATGTTTGTTTACTTGCAGAGTGGTGGGCGATCTGATGAAGAGCGCGGGCCACCGCATGGGATCCGTGAAGGAGCTGGACACATACATCCGTGACCCGCGCGCAATATCCGGCCACGTGCAGGTACCCACTGATTGCACACGCCAAAGCCTTGTCACCATTGTAGTGCAGCAAAGCCATTTCTGCACTGTGGCACAATACCAAGGTGGTATAAACTCTGCTATGGCTTGGCACCCTGCTTCTCTAGGGATCCTTCTCTCTCCAAAAGGCTGGTGCTCTCTTATCTTGATGATCCATGCATTGCATATGGCAAGGACCGGCACTGAGGGCTCATGCTGATGAGACTGATGAGGAAGGGTCTGCTGTGCGTGCAGGGGCTGGAGGGCTTGTTGCAGAATGTGGAGGAGGAGGCATCGCGGGAGGGGCACTTTGAAAGGCTGCCTGCTCTGAATGGGGCGCCATCCGCGCCGTCAAGCACCGGGCGCCACGGCAAGCTGGGCAGTGCAGCAGACTGGTTGCACATGGCCAGGGCGCCCACTGCCTGAAGGGTGCCCCACTCCTGCTCATAGGCGCAGGAAATTGGCAACTGCTCTTGAGCAGGCGATGCATAGAAGTGGGGTCTTATGGTCAATTCTGTACATTAGATGCACCCTGGAAGGGGCTGCTGGTCTGGGTATGTTTATAGGTCATTGCGCTGCAAGTTGTACGTACAGCATGGTATCAGGGAGTTCTCTGGGATCTGACTCAAGATGCGCAAGGAATTTGGGGTGTGTCTTGTGGCCTGCCCAACGACCAAAAGCGTGGCACAGCTGAAAGCAGGCTTATCCCCTAGGGCTGCAGACAATTTCTCTTTCAGTCAGGGTCATTTTGTCTGTTCAAGAGACGCAAATAGTAGTAAAAAGAGGGCAGGTTTCATATGACTTATTTGCCTGTGTTTAGTCAGCAGGAATGTGAGAACGTTGGAAGGGCTGTTTTTGTTCCAGTAATCCTTACAGAACTCAATGTCAGAAGGTGCATGATCTTGCAACCTGAAGCAGCCGGGCTTCTGAGGATGGAATGTGTTGTATTACAATATGCCCAATATATACTAATATATGCCGTCAGCATCGGAGAAGTTCTGTAAATGGCATGAGCAGAAATCAGAAAAGATATCGAGCTTGCCATATTTGAGTCATTCCTTGACATCGCAACAGGTCCTTGTCCATAACATTGCTCGATCATCGATCGATGGCCACTTTAAAGAGCGCTCTTGTTAGCAGGACAGCGCAATATTTGCATTGAAAGTGCAGAACATCGGCGTTGATGCGCAGGTCTGAAACTGTAAACCACAATCAAATGTCAATCAAGAACCAAAACAATTTGAGAGCAGCTGTGATCTGTATTATTCAGAAGATCTTGCCTGAGATTTTGTGGGCCCCCTGTCAAATCTTGGTGCAGACCACCCTGCCAGGAAATATACCAGTACTTAACAGAACAGCCTGGTCTAACAATCACGGGAGCCTTTTGAGTTTGAATCAGATGACTGGATCAGACAACGTCATTTACAAGTCCGTCATCTGTCTGCAAAGCAATCTTGCAAAGCACATCAACAATTGACTTGTCATGTGTTGCAGTGTCACTTCACCTTGCCTAATGTATGTTTACGTCTTCATGTGCCTGCTTGTATTCGAAGTGTCAGCCTGCCAATCTGTTGTGCTCTATTCTGTCCCCTTTGCTTGATCTCTGCCCCCCGAGCCCACTAAAGCGATTTTACTCTAGAGATCTCTGCCTACCCTACATCTTCATCACATCTTCAGCTGCACTTGCATGCAGCCCCTTCTGGTTGGCCCTGAGTTGCATTTGCTCTGAAGGTACTGCAGCCTGCCAGAAAGTCGCGATCTCAGAGCATCCATCAGGCACTGCTTGTCAGAGGTAGAGGGAGGCAGCGAAGACGATGTCGCGCTTGATTCTGCGCTGCCCCTCCTCAAACAGCTCCACCAGCTGCAGCTCACCCATCACCTGCGCCAGGCTTTCTTTTAGTAGCTCCCAGCAGAAATACCTGAAGCCGGTATTGTTTCCTCAGAGAAATGGGGTGCTCCTGTGCTTTTGAAGCCATGTGCGGGTGTCCACTCGAAGCCACCGAAAGTCACAAAAAAAGGAAGCCACTCCCCATTGTTGAGCTGCAGGACAACCCAAATTACTTCTACCCACAATTTTAGTTTCAAGACTTCTACTCACAAATAATAATGGCAGCCATATTGGCTTCCAGCTGAATTCTAGATTGACACTCACCTGCGCGCCGGCCGTGGCCTGCCGCAACACCTCCTCCACACGCCTCACCGCCCTCACCAGCGACCCCTGTGCAGCAAGGTTAATCTGAGGAAATGGCAGATCACGCATGCATGTAAGTCAGCGCCAGGCACATCGGCAAACGGATGGGTCAGCATTGTGAAGGCACCTCAAAGACGTCGGTCATCTTCATGATGTCGGCAAACTTGGCACCCTTGCTCCAGGCGGCCAGCGCGTCGCACAGGTCTGTCCGGAAGGAGGCCACATACTCCTCCACATCCAGACCCATCTTGCTGTCAGCCGACACCTGCACACGGCGCAACACACGCAGTCTGTCACATGATAGAAGCCGGATACTGCATCAATGGGTTAATTATGACCCTACACATTTGCTGCTCCACGCTGAAAAGCAAGACGGTGGCCTCATTTAGAAACCCTATTTTCCCACACTCCATGCCACCAACACCTTAGCTGAAGCCTCTCGAGATTGGCACTGTGCAGGTGAGCGATGTTCAAGGGCTCCTACTCCTCAAAGTACCCGATCTCTCCTGAAAGTTTATTGGAGAAACGACTAGGGCATGGTGACGGCAAAATCCGGTGGGGACAACCTCGGCGACAGGTGCACAGCACCAGCACCGTTGCCATCTCTATCGGATGCCATGCAGCTGAGCAGCGTTCCAGGGTCCCGATTCCCCATACCTAAAGCCTTTCATATCGAAAATAGGGCCTGGGAACCAGAAAAAGGGCTTGCGCCCACCTTGGCGACTCGGCGGGCGGCTTCGCGCAGTGCAGCGACTGGCCCCTCCAGCTCTTCGCTGACGCGCGGTGCTGCGTCGCTCTTCTCGCGCCAAACCAGGCACGCCACCAGCGCTACTGCCTGCTCCGGCTTCAGATCCTGCATCACAATACCCAGCACAAACACTTCAATTTCTCCTGCACTCCTCACAAAAATAGCCAGTCGATGGACTCTGATCTGTCTCATACCGCCTACAGCACCCAAAAGCTGCTGGGTATCACACATGAACCCCATGCAGACAACAATGTGCACAAATCCCATACAGACTCCCAACTCTGCCATCACATCCCGAGTGGGCTCCTTCAAGTTCATGCAATCCAAGTAGCCAAGAACATTCACAGGTATCATCAGGGGACAGCTGACGGCAAAACAACCATACATGTGGAGGTGCTTTTGGGAGGCAAGGTGCCCCTAGATGCATCAAAGAGCAGTGTAATGGCACTTGACGCTCAACAGGCACCTCATATGTGACAGTTTGCCGTCCCTGGCAGGACAAAAGTGGCAGGTTCTGGTGAAAGAACACGCCTTGAAGCCCGAGTTGAAGATGAGCTCAGTGAGCACGAGCTCGTCGGCGCTCTGGATGGTGGCCGCCACACGCCCCTTGAGCGTCACCACGCCATTCTCGTCCACATACCTGCTCACTCCATATCACACATATGTTCAAGATCTCCGAAGGCGCTGTCTCTGACCCGATCCTTTTCAAGTGTTCCAGTGCCCGCTGCCACATTGCTGACAGGTGTTAAAAACGTCGCTTGATACTGGTGCGGCCGTGATAGCTTGCAAAGATCTCTTGAAATGCAATTTTTCTGAGATATCCCACCGTCGGTATTGGCTGGCCAATCTTACATCTCTCCTGTCCCATGGGACTTCTCGACATGGAGGTTCAGCTTCTTTCTCGTCGATAGGTCGATATGACACCAAGGAGAAAATGAGGCGGCCAGGTAATCCTGGGGAAAAGATAATAGAAGGGCGGCACAGACAGAGTACTGCAGGTGATGCAGATAGGAGCACTGCGCACCCGAGCCGGCGCAGCACTCTTCTCCGCGCCTTGAGCTCCTGCTGCAGGATGAGGCTGGCCGCGCTCTTTGCCTCCCTCTTCGCCACGCGCACCTGCGATGCCAGCGCCTGCGCGGCAAAACCCCCAGGTGATATTTTATACCCCTTTTGCATCATGTTAACAACGCGACTCTTTCCAGGAATTCAAGGGAATGAAGCATGGGGCTCAAAATGCTCTTCTGGGCCCTCCTTCCAGTTCATGCCGTTTTGTGAGGAAATGTTTTGAGCACCCTCCTTGTCATGTGCTCAATTCTGATACGCCTAAAAATGCGTCCAGAAAGGATACATTGCCAGGCCTTGAGGAGGCAGCAAAAGCTCTCTTTTCCACTCTGCTTTGTGAGGATGAGGGAACTCAGTACAAGCTTGCACCTGCTTCCTGTCCCATGCAGCCAGGCGGTCTTCCAAGTCCGGTGCGCTTGCCAGCGAGTGCTTGCTCAGCAGGCCCTCCACATTTTCCAGCTTCCTGTCAAGGCAAGATGAGGGACTCAACTTCAACGCCTCTGGCTTTTATCAAGATTCCCACGAAATGATCATGCTGAGAACAGCCCGTCCATATTATGCCCCAATGCTGATCAGCACTGACCATTGCTGGTCTGTAGCATGACTGGTTGGGAACGCAGGTGCCTGTAATGTTGTGTGGCAAGGTTGCTAGACCACAGCTGCTATAATAACATGCAGGTTGCGACAGCGCGCACCTCTGTGCCTTGCGGTAGGCGGGGTCGTCCACGGACATGTCCTCCTCCGCACTCAGCAGCGGCAACCCCTTGGGGTACCTGCGCTCCACCTCCCCTACGGCCTGCACTCATCACAGCTACAGTAAAGATTGGATTACAAGGCACCTCAAAATACTTTCGAGAATTGTGCGCACGATGCAGCAAGCAACAAGGAACTTGCGCATTCATGAGCAGAGAGCTTGAAATGCATTCACATACTGAAAGGGAGCCGTTCAAGATGCACTGTAATTGAGCTCTTCTTTTGCACAACCAGTGGAGGAGGTAGAACTCTTGCATGGTTAGATTGCAAGCCTTCATGACATGTTCTTAGAGGTTTTCAGTGACCGCATACATATCCTATTTTCTGTCGACCAGAGAAATTGTAATCCTCAACATGCATGTGCAGAGCTGCAATTCATTGGAATCCGACGGAGAGGAGCTGCTTGGCTTCAAAGCAGGTTATGAGCAAAAGGAGGGCAGAAACAGGCGTGCCTTGAGGGCGAGGGTGCGGGCGTCTGGCGGGCGCAGGTCTTTGGGGACATAGATGCGCACGCTGCTGAAGGCCGCCAGCTCACCCAGCTGCACCGGTACCACGCACGCCACGCCGCCCGACCGCGCACCCACCAACACCGGCCGCCTGCGCGCACGCAACCCAGCTTTTTTTTAAGATTCAGCATTATATAGGGTTCCGCATTTCCAGAACTAAAAACCCTACACTCAAACCCAAAAAACATAGGGTTTTTCACTCTTAGAACCCTGAACCCTATGTAAGTCATAGGATTTACCACATTTAATAAATTCAGCTGATTTAGGAAAGCTTTTCACGCTAGATGATTCTGCTCGATTGTGAGGTTGCTCAATCAGCATGTCAATTGAGGCGTCAGCGCGACTAACGAGCTTGGTGCACTTACTTGCTGAGCTCTCACTCTCCTAAAGACTGACAGAGCTTCCGCAATAGTGGTAATGTTGCAGAACACTGAGGAAACCTTGGTTTTTCTGTCACAGCTGACAGTGCAGAGCGGGTGTGCTGGTGTGTGTCTGCTGCAAAGGAGGCACCTTTTGGGTCCGTGGCCCGGCACAGAGTCCTCTGCGCAATTGGCGAGCACGTCAACAATGTAGCGCGCCCCTTTCTTGCTGCTGCTCCCTGACTTGGCTTCTGCCTCTCCGGCGTCGGCCTTGCCCTGGCGCTCAAAATTGATAACGGCCGCCCATACTGCCGACCCCTCACCCCTCCCGCTGGTGGATGCCACTCCGTTCGTCTGCATGCACATCCACCAAGTATCATGATATGTACTTATTTACTGTTGCACCTTGATGAACTCCAAGCAAGAGGTTTAGCCAATAACCGCTCACATTCTGCCAGTGCAAGCACAGGGCTGCTCATCCAATTGGTTGACAATCCAGGATTTAGAAAGGGTAAATTGAGTGTGCACCCTGTCAGATGCAGCGTCAGCGTCAGCTCCGGGATCAGCGGGGGCTGCGGCGGCTGGGGCCTCCGGCTGAGTCAGCACGCTGACGAGGCGGCCCGGCTGCAGGAATGGCAGCGCATAGCGCGGCCGCGTGACGATCTCGCGCATGTCGCCCCTGCATTGCACCTGCTGCTCCAGCAAGGCTGCGTACTGCGCCACAGATTCCTCCTCCTCCACCACTACCGCGTCCCTCTCCTCCTGTTCAAGCGAATTCGCATTCAGAATAGCGGCAAGGTTCTGCGCCAAACGCGGACAGGAACATCAGCATTTGAAAGGTCTCGGGGCCATGCCGCACAGAGACTTCGTAACCTTCCATTGAGTGTGCAATGGTTTTTGGGTCAGGTTTTTGCTGGTATTTCAATGGCAGTTTATTATACCCTGGCATTGCAACAAAACAAATACCAGCTGCTTGACAACAGCACTGGCATAAACATGGAAGCAGCACACTTCATGGAAGGCTATGACGCACAAGTCCCCTGAGGAGGATAAATTTTGCATGTTGGCGCACTTGAAAGACAAAAACAGGCACAGTATTACACTGAATTCAAATGGGGAGGAGCCCGTGAGAAACACCAATGGAACAACCCTCAGTTGTGCAATAGCTGGATCCCGCCGTGACTGTCATATTTCCTGAATCACACACAACCTGACAGTGTGTCCCCGCCGCACATCGACTGCAAAGCAAGCGCGCACCTGGAGGGCGGCGATGCGCGCGCGGAGGGCTGGCAGGGAGCGCTCGGTCTGGAACTGGCGGAAGGACTGTCGCAGCAGCGCCTCGGGCTCCAGGGCCTCGCTGAGCAGCAGGTTGAGCAGCATGGTGTGGCTCAGGTGGAACTCGCTGTGCAGCGTGTCCGGCGCACCCTGCACCATGCTCTTTGCCACCGCCGGCTCCATGCGTGTGTCCAGCATCAGCATCACGATGCCTGCGCGCAGCCGCTAAAAACATTCTACACCAATTTACATGATGTTGTGAAAATCGGTGAGAAAGTTGGTATTTTGCGCGGCTTCACGCATGAACAATTCTGCCTGCTGCATTGACGCTGGAAAACTTGAGAAACAACTTGGAAGAATGTTCCTTGCATTTTGCAGGAAAGATTGAAGTTGCGTGGATGTGCCCTCGCAAGCGGCTTCCAGTAAAGAGCAGAACAGGTGTAAGTCATGACTTTGTCAACATTCAACCTCAAGATCACCACTGCCAAAATATGCAGGTACCCAGGCAATCAATTGCCCCAGACATAGACTTTTATTTAGGGTTTACATGATATCAATTTCCCCTTAAAAACCCTGAAACCTAACGACAGGCCCACCTCGGTCGTCGAGGCCACGGCGTCCGGCGCGGCCGCTCATCTGAATGTACTCGCCCGAGGAGAGCCATCGGAAGCCGCCGCCGTCAAACTTGCGCGCGTTGGTGAACACCACCGTCTTGGCCGGCATGTTCAGGCCCGTCGAGAAGGTCTCGGTCGCAAACAGCACCTGCACAGCAGCAACAGATCTCCATCTCAGCTGGCCTGACTATCAGATACCGATTACAGCATTTGATACCACGTGCATCTGCAACACCCTGCCTGTGTCAGCACTGCTCCATCTAGAACCCGATATCACGGCTGCACAATAACCAGATAATAAGGGGTGTTGCTCAATTGACCATCAAAACAGATTTTCCCAAAAATTTTGGTGCCAGGTTGGGTTGCTCTCGTAGTGATGTGCATGCAGGCCACTCACCTTGAGAAGGTTCTCCTGGAACATGATCTCGATGACCTCCTTGAGGATGGGCAGCAGACCCGAGTGGTGCACCCCGATGCCCCGCTTCAGCATCGGCAGCAGCGCTCCCACCTGTGCATTATCACAACTATCTCAACTCTGGTTCTTTCTATATATCGGGCCTTTAGAACATGCGCTCTGCCTGCCACCACACCATCAATATTAGTGGGTCTCATATGATATCCTTCATCTAGCACCTTCGGATGCATGGGTGCGTGCGTCGTGGTCAAACTGGGCTCCTGGGCGGGAAAAGTTGTGGTCCTTTTGCTGCAGGTTAGATTCACTCTGAACGCAGTCCTTCCTCTCATATCTGACAGTCGCCTGTCTTGCTGTCTGCTTCATCTCTCTCCACGACAAAGAGATCTCTGTAAGAAGAAACACGAGCAGCATCTTCCCCGGTAATGTCCGCAAAAGCTAATTGTCAAAACCTACCCTGAACCCCCAAACTTTAGCACCAAACCCAACATTTTCAAACAAAAATTCTATGTGCACCTGCGGCAGGCGGCGGTCGTCTTCGGAGAGGCAGTCGATGGCGTTCCAGAAGATTCCTTCCACCAGCTTCTGCTCCGCCTCGTCATTCAGGTCCAGCGGCGCCATCTGCAGCGCCAGCGCCTCACACTCCTTCTTGCTGAAGCTGAACACTATCACCTGCGCACGCACTCGCAGCCGCACATCACAAAATACTCTATCAAACATCCTACTGCCTGCAAATGCGTCGGACGGGTTGTGCTTCCTTGCTAAAATGATGTAAACAGTATCAACCAGGTTGGACAGCTCTTCTTGTCAACTTGCTGAAATGGGATTGGTGATGCTCACCGGGTCAAAATTGCGCTGCATGATCATCTTGACCAGCTTGAAAATGTCCGACTCCTCTTCCTTCTTGCCATTCACACCGCCCTTTTTGCCTCCCTTCTTGCCGCCTGCACCAGATCAAACAATCATGACACTGTGAAAATACCAGAGAGGCATCTCTTTGAGGGGGTGCCAATGCACCAGATTTCTTGCAGTGCTTGCAAGGAAAGCCCCAGAGTCCATTACCCACAGCACACTGATAGACAGGGGTGCCTGTGCTGGTTGCGCAAGGGGCGGCAAGCCCTCTCACCAAAGAATGCCGCCGCCTTCAGCGGTGTGCCACAATCTATGTTCACAGAGCTAGTGTGTTTGCGCACCGCCGTCTGCTGCGGTTTCGGCCAGCGCGGCAACGGCTTTCTGGAAGTTGTCTTCGCGGAAGGTGCCGCGATCGTCCACGACCATAAAGAGGCCGTCGCCGCCCGTGGGGAACACAAAGTGCTGCAGCGGCGTCGGCCGGTAGTCCGTGTACACCACGTGGCAGGGCGACCTGCACAAACGCCACTGAAAATTGCCCTTTGCTCTCGGTGATAGTCCACGTACAATCTCACAGCTCACCAGCTTAGTGGTGACTCACCAGTGATGACTCACCCTGCTCATCCTGAAAACAACAGGTACTGCAACTTGAAGACAACAGCAACTAAAAGTATGACAGCGCGCTGTAATGCAGACACTGACCACGCTCATGAGAGATTCTGCAATTGTAGTCTCCGGTACAGCTGTAAAGATGTTCAGGAGCTATTTTTGCAGCTCACCCGTGGGTCTTGGCGATCCACTGCGCAAATTCGAGGGCGTTGGGGATGGTGGCGGAGAGGAAGGCGAATCGCACGGTGGGTGGCGCCAGCACGATGGACTCCTCCCACACCACTCCGCGCTCACGGTCGCGCAGGTAGTGGATCTCATCGTACACCACCAGCGCGGCCTGCAGCCGCCATTAATATGTTACATTGCGTCACTCTATTCCAATCCGTGCGTCACAACCGCGGTCTATGACCTGGTCTGTCTTACAGCCACCCTACCTAGTGCCAATGAAAACAAGCGCTGGCAGACCAGGGTCTTTACCTTCGTTCCGTCGAGCTTTGCCACATGCTGCTCAGACCTAGGAAAATGCAGACATGTCTGCAAATTGTGCGCCAGAGTCGAGAGAAAGGGCTGCCTCACAACTGAACATCAATAGCCTAATGCAATACCTTAGCAAAGAGGACTACATGACCAAATTGAGTCTAGCATAAACATTGCCTGGGATGGACTAAAGGTACGTCCACTCCCGAAGCGCACGGCACAACCTCCGCAGTATTCTACACGGCCACACTGCGCACAGACATCAGTTGCTTGAACTAGGATGTCTTGAAACGCACCTCGCGGACGATCTCGCTGCCATTGTAGAGCATGGAGCGCAGAATTTCGGTGGTCATGACGAGGCAGCTGGCGTTGGGGTTGATGGTCACGTCCCCAGTCATGAGGCCCACATCCTGGAACTCCTCATGGAACTCCCGGTATTTCTGCAGGGCACCCACAAAATAATGAGCCCCCAATGCCCGTCAGGAGCCAGCGTTTTAGGGTCTCACATGGCAGGGCATTCATACATGCCTTTTTGTACCGAAACAGTTGACTTCTATGTCCAAGATATGCTGTTTCCAAATCGTACCTGGTTGCTAAGGGCCTTCAGTGGTGAGGTGTAGATAACCCTCTGGTTGTCCCTGCATTAAAGCCCCACCAATGAATTCAAGATGGAGGACAATGCATTGCACGTTTGGCATTTTGTTCTGCACGTGAGCACAGCGGCAGGGACAAGCGCAGAGCGGGAAGTGCAACGGCTGTCACCTGAGCCCCATTGCGCAGCAGTACTGCGCGATGACAGTCTTCCCAGCGGAGGTGTGGGCCGCCACAAGGACAGAATCACCTGAAAAGCAGGAACAAGCGTGATGATAGCTCCTGGATGCGTAAAAATGAAATCAGTACCACCTGCCAGGGACTGGCTTGCGCAGAAGCACAGCTCATATCAGAAGCAGATTGTTCATGACAGCTCAGGATGCAGTCACCGTCACCACATGCGCACCTGCTTCCAGGCAGTTGATGGCTGTGCGCTGGAAGGGGTCCAGGGTAAAGGGGAACTGCTTGGCTGCTGGTCCAGGCCTTGCTGGGGGTGGCTGGGAATTCGGGGTCTTTGCATCCTCGGGCCATGCCACTGCGTGAGTACATGTTTTGCCGTCTATTTCAATGAAGTTACTGCCTCCCTCGGGAGTGTACTGTGGCACATCTCCCAGCTTGAGCTGCTTGCTGGGACCAGAGACATCGTTGCTGTTGTCTCTTCCCCTCTTGTTGCTGCGATCGTCCTTCACCATTATATGTGGTCAGGGACAATAGTACAAATGGTAGCCGACGCTACGCATCCATCCTGCTTTTAGCTTGTTCTGAGTCCTAGTAAATATTGCAGATCGAACTGCAGCAGCTGGGTGCAATGCTAGACTTAACTTCGTACGATCAAGTATACAATAACAATATCACTGGCGATAAAAGGCCTTCCACCTGCACATCAGCTGCTACACAATTGCTTCCGGAAAGTACTCCATTTATGCTGCAGGAACGCCGGGCGGCAGCCGCACTGAGCTGGCGCCAAAAGTGTGAGTTGTGCGTCACTCTGGGATCAAGACCAGTATGAAACTTTCACTGTACGCAAGATTGATGCGATATTGAAGCTGTACAACGTCGATCCTTGATCATCGTCGACTGGGTGTTTGCAGATCTCACAGTTGCAGATCCAGACATCCTGGCGAGTCTTTGCTTTCACCAGGTATTGACTCAAGCTAAGAAACAACTTTAACATGTAGAAAGTCAATTTCTCTACTTGGTACTTGACATCTTACGCTCACATCATCCACAGGCTTGTGCAACTGGGTTCCTGATGGGACCACTCGACCTTTGGACGTGTTGAGATCAAAGTGAGGGTGTTGCCTAGGTGCATGCTCTTCTGAGGCATAGCTCATTAAGGAGGCTCGGAAGTGGACGTATCGTCTTTTCAATTGCGCCATACCGCGACAGGAGGAGAAGTCAATCTTCAGGCACTCAGTTGGCCTCAACAGGCAGAATGACGAGCCCTGGTGAGCTCTTGGATGCCAGCTGGCAGTCTCTGGACTGCCCATCGTCAGAGCTGCGCCTGGAGTTCACCCTCCCCACAGGACAGTCGTTCAGGTGGCGGAAGACTGGTCCTCAGGAATACACCGGAGTCATCCAGCAGCGCGTGGTGAGTAGTCCCCTTTTTTCTCCTTCCCACCTTATTTTTCACTTCTGAGCGTTAGTTCCAAGATATTCTTCACTGCCTTGCTCATGGTTCTCGGTATCTGCACTGCTACTTGCCCAGCGCTCCAACCCAGCCCAGTCTGCTGCATGGAACTGAACCTGTGCCTGCACCATGCGCAGGTGCAGATGCGGCAGGAGGAAGACGATGTCCTGTTCAGAGTGCTGGCGAGGGGTGACGGGGCACTACCGGGCGAGGATGCGGCCGCGCTGCATGACTATTTCAATCTGGGCAGCCGCATGGCTGACCTGTCTGCGCACTGGGCCGAGCGTGACCCCCGCTTCCGCAACATCCACCCCTACTTCCCAGGTGCGCCCAGACTGCTGCCCCTAGTATGCTTCTTGCCAGAACCTTCAGAACTTGTCTAGTGCAGGCAGGAAACTGTTGCATGCCTACAGTACCCCAATGAGGCGCACAAAGCATGCCGTCTACACTTGCTCGTGTGTGATCGGCACTTGCATGAACATGTAGGCTGTCTACCTTGTTTCTAAGACTGCGCGGTGCTTGATGGTTCATGGTAGGGGAGGCAAATGTGATGAACGGCTCTGCAGGTGCCAGGGTGCTGAGGCAGGACCCGGTGGAGTGCCTGTTCCAGTTTGTGTGCTCCTCCAACAACCACATCTCGCGCATCCACGGCATGGTCGAGCGCCTCTGCCGCACCTATGGCACGCCCCTGCCTGTTGTGGCTGATGCTGACGCAGCGGCCTGCCCTCAGGTAGCTTGCCAGATCTAGGAACAAAGCTGAATTTGGGCTCAGAGCAATCCGCTCAAGATTGACTGGCTGACCGCACGCTGAGCTTTGTCCCTGATCCTTGGCCTTGATGTGCAGGACCTGTCATTCTATGCGTTCCCAACGCTGGAGAACCTGGAAGAGGCCACAGATGAGGCGCTGCGAGCTGAGGGCTTTGGCTACAGGTAAACATTTGTGGATTCACCCTGGGACACAAATTGCCCAGACTGATTTGGCATCTAGACTCCCTTTTTCACAAGGGCTAATCATCACACTGAAAAGCTGACTGTGTTGTGTTGTTGCTGTTATAAACTCCAGGGCTTAGAGCATAGTGCGGCATTGCATGCGCCCCGTTGTATGTGTTCTTACAGCTGGTGACAATTGGGTCCTTTGCAGGGCCAAGTTTATAGTGGGCAGTGTGGAGATGCTGCTTGAGAAGGAGGGGGGCGGTGCAGCCTGGCTGCAGCAGCTTCGGCAGGTCCCCTACCAGGAAGCATCAGACGCGCTGTGCACGCTGCCAGGTGTCGGGCCCAAGGTGAGACCATTGTTTGCCGTGCCATCTTTGCTCTTTTCTAAACAAACCAATTGCTGCCATTGACCCATGCTCTTAATACAGTGGATTCTCTGTGCCTTAGGCCCTATCAGTGGATTGGGCGGATGGGTGCATGAACCTGATGGGTGCATTGTGGCGTGTACAGGTGGCAGCCTGCGTGTGCCTGTTCTCCCTGGACAAGCATGAGGCCATCCCAGTGGACACCCACGTGTGGCAGCTGGCAACCAGATACTACACCCCCAGCCTCAAAGGTGTGCTGTCCCACCTGGCGCACTGGTTAAAAAAAAGTTTAACTCTAAAACTTCAGCGCTGACTTCATTGAAGAAGTTCTGCAGATCTGCAAAAAAGGCAAAGGTTTCATAAAAGGGTCCATATTTTGTGGAGACAAAAAATTTCCCTCAAAGGATCGGATGTACAAGTGCTCTGATGTACAAGTGCTCTGTGTATGAAGAAGAAAGGGTTTCCAAGTTTATATCTTGTTGACATGCAGGCAAGACGTTGACAAAGCCGCTGATGGTGGCAGTGGAGGCAGCGCTGCAGGAGCGCTTTGGCAGGCATGCTGGCTGGGCGCACAACACGCTCTTCATCTCCGAGCTGGCCTCGCACCGCCACCTGCTTCCGCCACACCTGCAGCCCGGCGGCCGCGCCAAGTCTGGCTCACTGCCCAAAGCCGCCGCCGCAGCCGCCGCAATTGCTGCAAGCGCCGTTGTAGAGGCAGTTTCGGCTCCTCTTGGGCGGGGCAAGCGCACAAAAGCCCGCAGAGTGGAAGTGCACGCTACGGCGGGGCAGGAAGATGTGTGTGTTGAAGATCAGGCGGAGGTAAGCCGGGCAGGAATGGGCAATCATGGGCCCAGCATGCAGAATAAAGCAGCTACAGAGCTGAAAGTCAGAAAGCGCAAGGGAGCAGCAAAGGCGGCGCTTGCTGCCAGCATTCTTGGCAGCGTTTCTGCAGAGGCTGTTGAAGGCCAGCCAGCTGTAAAGCAGGCTCAGGAGTCAGCTGTGCTGGCCGCGTCGGGTAAGGAGCAAAGCAGCATGCCAGAAAGGATGTCTGCAGTGGGTGACTGTTCAGGAGAGGTTGGCAGTGGTCTGTCTCCTGAGGGCGTGAGTGCTGGAGCAGCATTTGCATGCAAGGCTGAGCAGGCGCCTGCGCAGAGGCAGCACTTCAGGGACTGGAAGCGCAGGAGGGCAGGGCCTGCAGCAGAGGTGCCCGGACAGCTGGACCCTGTAGCAAAGCTGATCAAGGCCCAAGCTTCATGAGCTGCTAGGGTGCCGATTGTACTCTGACCATAGTAGTGTAGCAAAAAACTTTGGACGGATTGATGTTCTGAAGAGCAAACAGTACGACAGAGGGTGTAAGAAGAAATGCATGACTAGTACTGGCTGTGACCTGGTACTGCCAGAATTTCCCTCGTCCTGCATGCATTCTGGATTACATTAAGGATCTACCACGGGAGAGGACTTCATCTTGCACTTTCCAAAGCGACAACGACCAATTCGCTGTGCAAGTTGTCCGTCTGGGATGGCGAAACTTGTCCAAGTCGCAGCAGCTTTGATCGTCTTTTGCCTTGCATCGCCGAGCCTGCCCGTCTCAGCATCTTCGCTGAGGCAGCTTTTGCAGGACTATGACGACTCAGCTGGAGCAGGCAACTGGAGGATAGCAAATGGCATAGAAGCCGAATGCGGAGGGACCGGGTACCCCGCATCGAACTGGGGAGGTCAAACGTACGACCACACTCAACCACCTGTTGCTTCCTCAGCTAACACCTCCTGAACGGTATCTTAGAGCGTTCATCCTGGAAACTGCGCACTTGTTGTTCACAAACGCTGTGAGAATTCTCGTCAAGCCGATCTTCTGAAAGTCCACACGGTGCACATGATGGCCTAGATTTGAACCTGAAGTATTGCAGTGCTGCAGTGAGAATTCTCGTTCATCTTGCAGGCGTCTGCGCCATTTTCGCAGCAACGGCTTCATCATCATCCAGATCAGGATAACGATCAAGTGAGCCCCATGCTCTGATGCACAGTTGCTCTTGCACACTTTGTGACCAATGCACAGGTTCTGCTGTGTGCACTGCCAAGGAACTGCCCAGCGAGCTGTGCTTTTCTTGAATAAACCCAAAGCCTGCATCCATTGCAAAGTGGCGTAATTGTGGTTTGACGCTGTGCAGCGTGATTCTGCGTGGCTTCTTTGGAGAGCGGTTCACTGCAGACTCTACCTTCACCTTCCGCTTTACTGAGGACAACTACAACAGCTACCGCCGCAACAATTTTCTCTGGACCCCAGCTGCGGCGGCGACGCTCGTCAAGCTGTCGGTGAATTTTGCCGCTTGTCTCCTGTGTCGTGCATGTGTTGCCTGGTTGTCCTGCACTCTACTACAGAAATCAATACACTTGGGAAGACAATCTGCTTCCCCTCCAAACAGGCTACAAATTAATGATGCCCAATCTTGATTGGTGCATGCAATGCCAGCGCGCTTATTGCGATGCTGATGCTAATCAAATTACGGGAAGAACTTGAGCCCTGCTGGGCATCACGTATGCCAGCTCTCTCGGTGTCTTCACTGTGCCGTTTAGGATGTTGTCACAACCATAAAACTTGACCCAATAATATTGCTCTGATCTCATGAGTGCTACCTGCCTGCGCAGGACGGCAACGGCAATTTTGTCACAGTGCAAACAAGCGTGACAGTGAACGTTCAGCAGTGGACAATACGGATCTTTGAGGTGCGCTGCTCTGCCGGTCACACACATTCGATTGAGGTCATAAATTTGAGAGAGCCCAAACGTAAGTCTGGCAGGAACATTTGTCAGCAGGCCCAAGGCCTTTTTAGTGCAGCCTGCTGTGGGTTCCAGGAATGGTTTATGAAGCAGCTGCTCTCTCTAGGAATCTCTCAATATAGCCGCAAAAAGCCCCTTCAGTTCCTTGACATGCGGCCTCAGCTATTCTGCTGCAGCAACGGCGCAAGTCCCTGCGCTTCAGATCTGATAAGTATGATAATGGGCCTGCAGGTGGTGCGGATTATCGTCAACAGCTGCCCACAGGATGGCGGCTGCTCTGGAGGGGGCTGCGGGCAGGCTGCATGCGGCCAGAGTGACTGCGGTACTGCTAACGCTCCTGGCTTCAGCGGAGGCAACGGTGGTGGCAGCTCTTCTCAGGGTAACAGTGGCGGCTCCTCGGGCTCTTCTCAGGGAAACAGCGGCGGTTCCTCGGGCTCTTCTGAGGGTAACGACGGCGGTTCCTCGGGCTCCAGCGATTCTGGAGGGGGCGGTGGGGGCTCATCAGATTCTGGGGGTGGCAACTCATCTGGCTCAGGCAATTCAGGTGGCTCAGGTTCAAATGACTACAGTGGGAGATAGGGTTCATCGAGTGACTGTCCATCAGAGATTGGCAGTGGTCTGCTTGCTGATGGCGTGAGTGATGAAGCATCATTTGAGGCTGAGCACTGCTTAGGGTAACCCTAAACCCAATAAAACTTAAAAAGAAAAGGTCATGGCGTGAGACCCCAGCTGATGATGCAGCTGAGCAAAGTTGATGCAAGCATTGAAGCCAAAATTGAAGTCCTCAAAGCTGCCTACTGCCAGGATGTGGAAAGGGGTAGAATCACTGTAAAGGCTTTAGTCAGTGATGCAGATTTGATAGGGCAGTGGGCATATTCCTAGCCATGCATGCACGACCGCTATGCACCAAAGTATGCCAATGTCACCCCTTGTGTACTTTGGGTTTAGGGTTTAGGGTTTAGGGTTTAGGGCCTAGGGTTTAGGGTGCAGGGTTTAGGGTTCAGGGTTTAGGGTTTAGGGTTTAGGGTTCAGGGTTCAGGGTTTAGGGCTTAGGGCCTAGGGTTTAGGGTTTAGGGTTTAGGGTTTAGGGTTTAGGGTTTAGGGTTTAGGGTTTAGGGTTTAGGGTTTAGGGTTTAGGGTTTAGGGTTTAGGGTTTAGGGTTTAGGGTTTAGGGTTTAGGGTTTAGGGTTTAGGGTTTAGGGTTTAGGGTTTAGGGTTTAGGGTTTAGGGTTTAGGGTTTAGGGTTTAGGGTTTAGGGTTTAGGGTTTAGGGTTTAGGGTTTAGGGTTTAGGGTTTAGGGTTTAGGGTTTAGGGTTTAGGGTTTAGGGTTTAGGGTTTAGG